GGTGCTGCTTCTTTCAGGGAATCGCAGAAAATTATTAAATACAGAGGTCTGGTACACTGCTACAGTTTTGTTCTGATCGGCTCGGAGACCCTCAGTTCGTGGGGAAAATGTGCATTGAAGTTCCTGAAGGAATTGGGGGACAAATTGATTAGCGCTACAAAAGATCAGACAGCAAAAAGTTTCTTGTTCCAGCGCCTCAGTGTTGCAATTCAAAGGGGAAATGCCTGTTGTGTCTTGGGCACTAGTACAACTTTTGAGGAATTCGAAGAAGTGTTTGACTTGCAACAATGATCGAACCTGTCTGTGACATTCATCAATGTTTCCCATTGCAGTCTCTGTGGTGTAGTGGTAAGACACTCGCCTGGCGTTCCGCGAGCGCTATGTCATGGGTTCGTATCCTGGCCGGGGAGGATTTACTGGGCGCAATTCCTTAACTGTAGCCTCTGTTTAACGCAACAGTAAAATGTGTACTTTGATGAAAAAACGATTCTTCGTGGCAGGGGATCGTATTCCAGGGACCATAGGATTAAGGACTTGCCCGAAACGCTACGCGTACTAGTGGCTGTACAAGAATGTAACAACTCTTGTATATATCTAAAAAAAAAAAATTGTCAGGTTTTTCAAGAAATCCATAACCATTAAGCACTTTTTGTATTATTTTTGTATCAACTTATGTATATCTTGTAACCATCAAATACATTATATATATAATGCATTTGATGGTTATAACAATAAAGGTTATATATATATGTGTGTATATATATATATATATATATATATATATATATATATATATATATATATATATATATATATATATATATATATATATATATATAATATCGGTTGTTGTACCTGAATGAGGTTCTGGGAGTTGTTCTACTCCCCAAGCTCCAGGGCTTGCTTCCCAACTGCCCCTCAGTCATTTGTCCCTTGATAGAATTCTTGGTGAATTGGATTCCTTTAATGTCGTTCACCTTATGCGCTTTTCTCGTATTGGCATCTTTAGTAATATTTAGCGCCTTTTGAATATCCTGAAACTTTGATGGTACTACAGTCTCCCCACCTTGGCACCTTCTTTTTATAATTACAGTACTTGTGAGAGCTTGGTCCAACAGGTGGTTGCTTAAGAGTGACCCGCAGGCCTCCATATCCACTACAGCTCGGTTGGTCCAGCACTTCTTGCAAAAAACTATCCAGCTTTTTATTGAAGATTTACCATTTTGTTCTTGCAATATTTTTGATACTTGGTGGGAGGAGGTTAAACAACCATGGACTTCTGTTAAACAACCATAGGTACCTGACAGCTGGGTGGACAGCGCTTTGGATTCATAGTCCTGAGGTTCCGGGTTCGATCCCCGGTGGAGGCCGAGACAAATGGGCAAAATGTTTCTTTCACCCTGATGCCCCTGTTACCTAGCAGTAAATAGGTACCTGGGAGTTAGACAGCTACTACGAGCAGCTTCCTGGGGGGGGGGGGGGGGTTGTGAACAAAAAGGAGGCCTGGTCGAGGACCGGGCCGCGGGGATGCTAAGCCCGAAATCATCTCAAGATAACCTCAAGATAACCTCTGATGTTCAGTTTTCTCTGGTTGTGCCTATGGCACCTCTACTCTCTATTGGGTCTGTTCCACATTTCCTTCCATATTGTTCACTCCTGTATGTTGCAAATTAGGAACCTGACCCCCAGAATATATAATTTGATATCTTTCTTGTCTCCTTTGTAGAGTACATTATGAGTGCTTGAGATGATCTAATAGCTTAGGTGCTTTGTGTGTCTTCCAGGTTGCACGCTTACAGCGGACAGCCCGAGCACATTCCACCAATGAACACACTTCTGCGTTCCCCGAGAGAAAGAGTGAGGAATAGAACGGAGGAGAGCATCGAAGACGGTGTTATGATAAAGGAGGAGAGTGCGAGGAAGAGGCAAAATGGAGAGGTCAGAGACAGTAGTACGGAGGGTAAAGAGGCGCCAGTCAGCTTCGGCTAACTGCCACCTAGAGAAGGAGAGGGGAGGGTGAAAAGAGAAAAAGGTAACAAGGATGGGGAAATGGTCACTGCCATTGAAGTCATCAAGAACCCGCCACATGAAATCTAAGTAAAGAGATGACGAGCAAAGAGAAAGATCAAGACAGGAAAGGGTGCGAGTCGGAGAGTCCAAATGAGTGGGCTCACCAGAATTCAGAAGAGACAGGGAAGAAGAGAGGATGAACGGTTTGAGAAGGTGACCCTGGGTGTTTGTCATCATCCCAAAGGGTATGTAGACAGCTGAAATCACCCAGCAGGTGCACAGGCTCCGACAAGGAGTCCAGTAGGTGTTTAATATCGGGAAGAGAAAGCTGGACATTTGGGGGAAGATAAATAGAACAAACCATGTACAGTACCATTTACGCACAAAGATGCGGGCAGCAGAACATTGGAGACGTGATAGAAAAAGTAAGGGGACGAAGGGGAACATCAGAGCAAATAAAAAAAGCAGAAGAGTTACGGGCCCCAGCAAAAGCTGGGGGGGAGGGGGCAGGGGGAAAGAAAGGAAGAGCCACGGAAATTACCAGGACGAGCACCAAGTATCGGCTCCTGGAGACAGACACAAAGGGGCGAAAACTGTGAAATCAAAAGTTGGAGTTCAAGGAAATTGGCATAATATCCACGAATGTTCCATTGAAGAATAGACATCGACAAAAAGAGAAGGGATAGCAACAGAGAATAAGGAAGAAACAAGGGAAAAAGGAACACAGCACATTAAAGAAGTGCAGGATCAGGGTCAGGGTGAGAAGTGCACTCTGACTTAGTGACCTTCGTCCCCACACAAGGAACAGAGAGAGACAGGACTGGAGCATTTGAGGGCACCATGCCCAAACTTCCAGCACTTATTACAGAGCCGAGGAGATGGAATATACTCCTGAATGGAGCATCTGGCACCAGCAAGAATGACAGAGGGCGGAAGGGTCCTACCATCAAAGGTAATTTAAACAACCCGAAGGGGCTGACAGCGACGACCACGAGGGGGACGAGTAAACGTGTCCACTTGGAGGACAGAATGGCCTTGGGCTTTGAGGATATGCTTAATATCCTCGTGGCAGGCCTGTAGATTTCTCACACCGGTTGCAAAATGGTGCGGGAGGAGAACAGTGCCAATACTATTTAACTAAGCGTTCTTGGAGACCTGAACAGGAGTTTCACCAATGCAGGATAAGGCGGCCAAGCGGGTGGCTGCATCCTGAGCAGCAGCAGCAACGACACGTGTACCGAGATGGGTGGGGTTGAAAGTAACAGAGGCATCTACTGAATCAACAAGGAAAATTCGTCAGGAGTAGAATCTAAATGATGGAGATCAAAGTACTTAGTCCACGTAGCAGGACCAAACAAGGCGTGGTACGAATTAGTATGGAAGGGAGCATATGAGAGCGGCCATGGCGGGGACTGCGGCGAGGACCTCTAGGGAGAGAGGGGTCGAAAGGCGCAGTAGTCACAATGAGAGATGGAGCCATGCAAGGGGACGAGGCGGTCGCCACAGAGGGCTTGGGGCTCGACCCTACCACAGAGGGAGGGAGGGGAGCAGAGAGTAGTACTCTGGTCTGGGCCCAAATAGGGCCCTGTAATGGGGGGCTACAAAGCCTGGTCTTCCAGCACAGTCTGACCCAGGGTACTAGTCACCCACCCCATGAGCCTGAGTAAGAGAAGTCGTGTCATCATCCATACATCAATCGTTCTAAAGGTTTGGGACATGGAACCAAGGGATACCACCTACCAGGGCAGCCAGGGAGGCCGAGCGAGGGCCAGTGCAGGAAGGGTGTGTCGTCCCCAGCGGTGCCCCCCCCCCCCCTCTTTTCAACATGGGAGTCCTACTACATTGTCCATTCTCCCACACTGGTGCTAAGACCCCATTCCCTCTATCACCCTAGCCTGGACACCCAACCACTCAGGGTGGCCCCTCATGGGCGACCCCTCCAGTGGGTGGTCCGATGGCTCACAAGACCCCTACGTGGTGCCCTTCTGCACATACACCACCCAAAGAGAAGCAGGAGAGGAGGCAAAGGCAACCCACACCGGTCCCAGGGAGGTGTACATGAGCCCCTCACCATATCAAGGAGACCCCACAGAGGGGTGATTTTCCACAAAGGAACATTACAGTATGTATGCCTTGGCAGTCAGTTGTTGTTTGCGTGGGATTTTTATTACTGTACTTGGAACGGTTTCCCATGAAACATTTGAAAGTTCCATATTTATTTTTACCCAGTCTATCCTTTTATTATTAAAATTTAATATATTGAATAACCCCTCTTGTTTGATAATTTTTTAGATATATTGTGGATATTGAAGTTAGTTTGCACTTCAATCAGCTTGTGATCTGAGATTGTAATGTCCTTGATTATTTCTTCATTGTAAACATCAGATCTAATATTTTCAGCACTAGTTGACTTATCTACTGGTTTATTGCTCAAAATATTCCCAGAAATGGCCTTTTCCATTTTTATTATAGAACATATTATCCATATCTAGGGTAATGATGAAAATACCCATTGATATCGTGGTTAGCAGTTTATATGACTAGGACATGGATCACCTAACACCTCCATGCTAAAGTGGCACCCCAGGCAGGGCTTAAATCTCCAGATGGGCAGCACACAGGTACCTGTGGAATCCTTCCTTTTTAAAGGGGTGTTGGTGGCTCAGTAGGTAGAGCTGCAAGCTATGGTTTATGTGGTCAGCCATCTGAAGCTTTTGATTGTCCAGTTGAATGAAATTTTATTTTTATCCACAATACAGTGGTTAGCAAGTTATATGTATTTATATACTATACGGGAGAATATCAGCCTGTTATGTCCAAAGCTGGAAGTCACACACTTGGGGCTAGGCTTACCAAAATTGGCAGGAGGCATGGTTTGGGGGTATGGAATGATCATGGGCTCATTGGAGTCAACAAAATTAAAAAAGGAACATCGTGCCAGAGGTCACATTCAGACCCCCGCTACAATGTTTAACTAAAGGCTGGAATGATAACATTTAATTATTTATTTAAAATATATAGACAATTTGTTCATTGATAAACCTTTGATATAACTAGGAGATGGCTGTACAGAACATGTACAATGGCTGGGTTACTACATATTAGTAAGCAAGATAAAAACACTTTAAACAATATACACATCCCCATTAGTCAGACAACATACAATACTCGAGACTCCAAAATATGTCTAACAGTATTTCAATCCCTGCAAATTTTTTGATGAAACTTGGCCATAAGCCAAATAAATAGCACTACAATAAATACTTAAAATTGGGTAGACATCACACAAACCTTCCATCAAACTGGGGCCAACATAGATCAGACGTGTAATAAAACATTAGTAAATCTTTCAAAATACTGTAACAAGTTTAGTAAAACAGTTGCATATGAACATGTCAGTGATATATATGATATGATCATGGAAATAATCTACTAAATCTCCAGGTAAAACTCCTCCAACTAGGCTTGCCAGCATTCATGAGATAGTGACATGTGCATCATATATGGTCTTTCATGAGTAAAGTTACAATAATAATGACATGTTGTTAGTTAATATCTTCAAGCAATAACCTATTTTCTGACATAATCAGTGCAACAAAAACAATTAACTTCTTATAAAATAAGTTAAATAGCAATAATAATACCTGACAAGCCAGATAAAGAAAGAAAAAAAAAAGAGCATTCTTCATTTCTGCAATACAAGTATTCACTTTTTGTTAAATTCAACATGCCAAATGGTGAACCAAAGGTCAACAAGTAAACAGTGATTACATTTCACCTCACACTGGCCAACTAAGTGATGCTGAGGAGCTAACCAAGTCCTGCATTCAGGTTTGCGACTTTCACTTACGGTGCTCTCCCTTGCATTGTTTACTATCTGACTTGTCACATCTCTATTATTATGACTAACAGCTGAGGTAACAGTAGCAGATGCTTCACTAGTGAGTTTATTTACACCTTTTAATAACACAGATGGAATACTGGGTTTCATAGTGACGCCTTTTTTTCTTCGCACACTTGCACTGCCTTCAGGACACATATGGCGGATTTTAATTTTGCTATTAGATTTGTTAGAGATGACAACTTTAGACTGTAATAAAGATTGCTGCAAGTGATTCACTTTACCATTAGGCAAGGAAGATCCTGTGGGAGATGGGGATTGCTTGTTTGATGCATTCTTGTCTCCATCCACACTTGGTGGGCTGTTTCCCTCTCTCGTTTTCATGACAGATGCTTTAGTACATCGCATGTATGATTTCAGAGCACCAGCAGGTAAAGACTTCCTAGAAGAGTCATCACGACTAAGTGATGAACCTTCTGAGACCTCTTTCTTAACGTGAACTTTATTATATGATGCCGTGTTCAAGACACTAATACGTTCCATAAGTGATGAAAACTCTAGGTCTGTAGCAGCATCAGCACCAGTTACACTGTAATCCCAAACAACATGCTGGCCCTCGCTATTATGATGAGAAATATTGCGCTTCCCTTGTCTAATATCATCCATAACATTAGTGCATCGAGCAACAGTGTTCCGCCGTGCCAGAATGGGTGTCTGTTTTGGACCACAGTGACTGAATTTGTGGACCATTTTCTGTACCACACCAAGACCTTGTTTTTCCTCATTAGTTTCATTATCTTCCTGATCATGATTATCATTATCTTCTACTACTTCCTCTTGCAATGTCTCTAAAGGTGTTATATCTCCATCTTTCTGGACTGCATTTAAGTGTCCTTGAATTCCTTCCAGTTCTACATTTTCTATTTCTTCTACAACTTTACTGCAGATGTTTTGTGTGTCTCGAATACCTTCTTTCGTGAGGCGACCATCCCTGCCAGGGGAGAGGGTAGGTCTACTGAATTTTGTGTTGGTGGCCCCATTTCCCCCCGAGAGGGGCCAACCACTAAAAAAGACGAGAATCCAGAAAGACGAGGGCAACTTGGAGACCGCATCAACTCTGCAACAGAAAACAAATTTTATATGTATTTTTCAGCTGGCACATTCCCTCTCTCTGGTACTGTCCATACCTTGAGGGGTGTTCTCGTCTACAATCTTATGCCATTTGAGGCATATAACAAAGCAAGTTATATAGTGCCTTAGCTGCTTGCTTGTAAGAAAAAAGCAAGAATGTCTGGAAATTGTGAGAAGCTTCTATACCTTAGATACTTAGCCCCCTCTGGAAAAGCTCCTACACTGAAGTGGTTGGCTATGCATAGCATCTTGTCCTGACTCAGATGTCTCAAATACATACAGAATTTAAAGACATGTAAAGTAGCACACGATGTATATACTGTACTAAACGTTCCCCAACTGCTGGTTTGAGACTCAAAGTAATGCACTCAATACTTGCTGTCAAGAAGTTAGGATAGGCAAACCTTTTTACACATTCTCAGAAGCATATATAAGCGAAAGATAGTGGTATTGTTTACAAATTCTGTATTAATCAAAAAAATTAATAATAAGACAGAATTTCCAGCCAGTTGCAGAGACAGGTTAAGTGAATTAATTCTGACAACTGTAAAAGAGAGAAAGACGGGCAGGTATATGGCTTCACATTATCAGGGACAGAGAGCCAGTTAAGCTTGTAGAGCTCCACCTTGTGTTTTCCTGGATGCGATCTATGATAGTCAACTTTCTCTCGAGTAACTATTTACTGCAGGTGAACAAGTGTATAAAAACAAACCCAAATGTCTTGCCGTGTTCTGAGCAGACTGTGCTAACCACATAACTACAAAGACACAGACAAGGCATTTAAAATTGAGGGAAAATGGGGCTAGATGACTTATAAGCTGTAAATGCAAATAGGCAAGAAGAGAAATAAAAAAAAATAGACATACACAGTGACTAACCATCACTTGGTAAAATACAAGAAGAAAAATGTCAGAAGAGCTGCCATGAGAACTTCTATTATCTCTATTACCGGAGCAGAGGATAAGAATGTTCATAAAAATACTCTTTTTTCCAGATGAGGGACAATAGAATAAGAGAAAGAGACAGAGGTTGGGAATATTCATGTGCAGCGAGAGTGGTAAATGAGTGGAATGAGCTTAAACTAGAGGTAGTGGAAGCAATCACTATTCTCAGATTTAAGGGCAAGTATGGAAATACTTAACTATCGGGAGATAAAGGTGGCCTAGGTACAATGGCTATGAAGTGCTTTTAAATATGCTGTCATTCCCCAAAGACACACCCAGGTAAGCACAGGGTAGGTAAACAAGTGGAATGCATAGTAAGTAGTAACTGCCCACCAAACATACACTGAAACTACGACGTTGGTACAACGTTCGAACAAGTTTTAACACCTCCTAACCAGTTATAACAACCAATATAGCAGGTTGTAACAACGTTCTAATACGTCATAAACACATTAAGCCAAGATGTAACAACTTTATTACAAGTTGTAACAAGCAGAAAATAGAGACAGTTTCGGTTTGTGTTTCCAGGGTGAAGCCAACTTCATCCACACTGTCAACAGCAAATATAACAAAGAAATAGAACTTAAAGAAATTTAAATGAACCAAGTGCAGGTGCTTAGCTATCAGTGTATACCTACTCCTTGTATACATTGACAGCTGAGCACATGCATGAAGCACTAGTTAAATAGGCCTGGCTGTCTGACCACAGTACAAAGCTCTTAGAACAGAAGCAAAGTTAGACAGAAGCAAGTGGGGTCCTACAAGGTTCGATTGTTGGCCTTCTCTGTGGTGTACCAAGGAATATACTTTAAAGAAGGGTGGTGGTTAAATGATAGTTAATGCTTATGTTTGATCATTTACAAAAATAATTAATCACAGCAAAATAATGGCAGTAAATATTTCATAAATCATCATCCATTAACATTTTCTAACTTTTTATTAAGATTTATAAAATTTAGGGGAATAAGAATAAATTCCTCCCTAAATAAAATTTAGGGGGAAGGAGAAGAACAGGTCCATGTGTGCCCAGAGCCCCCCACCCCCCTCCCATGGGTGCACTGCTGACCCCTACTCTTCATGATCTATGTGAGTGACATGCCCAAGCAGGTAAGATTTTTCCATGTCAATGTCTGTAGATGATGTATAATTAGTGAGAAATGGAAGAATAAAGGTCTGCACTATACTGCAAGAAGATCTAAAACTACAGGATTGGCCAAGCAAGTGGCTACCTGAATTCAATTCTAACAAATGTAAAGACCTTTTAGAAGGTTAGGAGGGGAAGAAAGAAGCTAAAAGGGCAGTACAGAATAAGTGGAAAGACACTTATTGGAATTAGGAAAGGTGAAGGGCTTTGGTGTAGAGTGAACACCAATTTTAACAAGACATGTATAATATCGGCATTGTGTGTGAGGCTAGCTAACATAGCGATAGCCATTTAAAACATAAACCTAAGCTATGAAAACAAGTTAAGGAAAAACAACCTAATGACAGAGATCACAAAAGATCACCACAGCATACAATATATTGAAGAAAACATTAGGAGGAGGAAAGAGTAGTTTCCAGATGAGGAAAAGCAGAATGGTGGGGAGGGGGGAATTCAGGTGGAAACTGGATAGATAAATGAGTCAGATATATAAGCAAACACTCATATGTAGTGAAGGTGGTCAGCAAGTGGAATACGCTAGGAGCAATGGAGGAGGAAGCCACCTACATTTACGTCTTCAGGAGCAAGTATGATAGAGCACTAGAATGCTAAGAGTCATAAATGCACCAGATGCAGTGCAGTACAGTACTTTGTCAAACAATTTAAAGACGTTTATACGTAGCACTGCCTCTTTTTGAAGTGGTACAGCGTTTAGCAGCATAAAAGGATTGAGAGAAAACATAGAATACCCATATTCAACTCAACATTTAATATATTAACCATAAAAACAAAAAGCTGCCAAAATATTGATGTGTGCATGGAAGGAAAGGAGCATAAAAGAGCAAAGTACTGTACTGACAAATATATACAGTAGCGGTACAAATATTCTAAAATATAATTATCTATCTGATGTAATACAATAAATCACTTTGAGGAATGAATATTTTGGCATTTCTGGTTAACTATTTTGTTTTATTGAAGAGCAAATTTGTATCTAATTCCAATGAACATTTCTTACCTTTACCACGTGTTGCGCTCAAACTTGTGCCTCTTCGCAGTGGAGATTTATCCTCTGTCGTCCCCTCCGAGTTGGTGTCCCTCCGTTGTTCTGCTAATTAAAGGTTATCAGTATAGTATTTAATTTGCGTTTTAGTATTTTAAGACGTACACTTATTTAACATTTTTTATGCATGAGAAAGAGAACAACTATCCCACAATCTGTATGGCACAAACGCATGTAAACATTTTGTAATTTATGTTAAATTTTGCATTTAATGAATATAAGCAGTTAACAGTTTTTATTATGTTCATGTTTTGAAGTTATTTATGCGTGGTCATTATATCACTGTTATAAGGTCTGGTGGTACTGTATTAATATGCAAGTGTGCTGGGAAGGCAAGAAAATTAGTAATTTACCGTACATGCATTCACACTACTACGGTGCTTAGAAGAAGATGGAAATAGTACACAAACATTCTAAAGGACCAAACGTAATATACAGTAAGACAGGCCATTAGAAGATTACCATACATACAATAACAAATTTCCCTCAGAATACACACTTCTGGACAATGAATGGTAAAATATTCTGACAGTTGCTATGTTGTATTAGAAGATCCCAAAGAGTCAAGTAAAGAACTCCCATAGTGCTAGGGAAACAATGTTCCCAGAAGAAAGAAAAACCTAAATACTTTATTTGGGGAAATTCACATTGTTCGCAGACTGCTGCAGAAATCTGTGAATTGTAAATAATCTGGCACATCGAGTATGTAAATATTAAATAACAATCCACTTTCGTTACTCAAAATTTCTTAGCATGCACACCATCTTTGCACGTCACAGTGTACCAGCACTCATTTGTGTTCTTGCTGCACGCCGCCCAGCGGCGGCAGTGGCATGCGTGGGGGTGGCAACACTAGCTCTGTTGTTACCTTGCATATTGGCGGCGGTGAGAATGATGTGCTCAAGTTTTTCTCTAAGAGCAGATACCTCGTCGGTCCTCAACTGTCGCTCTGCTTTCAGGAAGTGGCCCAGCTGACGGCAGAGGTCGCCCAGGTCGGCCTCATGCTGCGGCAACACTCGTCAACTCACTAGCTCGAGTCCACCCTAATATGTCCCTTTCTCTCTCTCTCTCTCTCTCTCCCCCTCATCATTCCATAGCAATATGTATATGTACGATACACGCATGCACATGTACACCCACTACAATGAAATATACTAAGACAATGACACATGCAGACATTAACTGGACAGCACATATGCTCTACACACACTATAAGCTAAAACATATAAGCAAATCTGAGTTTTACATTAAATATAAATCTACCAGAGCCTTGCTAGAGGAGGGTTGAAATGAAAAATCATTCCACAACACAAAACATTTGTTATATAGTAACTAAATTCTAAGAGGAGCTTCTAATGTATGCAGTAGTGAAGGGCGGTCAAGTCAGTTATTATATTAGAAAAAAATTCAATGTAAACAAAATATATTTAAATAACACCTTTAAACAGGCTCTAATTTTAAGCTAACTTGAAGCCTTATAAACTATCATATGAAAACAATGAGTGTAGTACATACATGTATGCATGTAAGAATAAATTATATAGTAAATATATTATATACGTATAGGTATAAAACCAGCGTTAAATGTAATGAAATGCCATTTTCTGGGTGAGACCCAGAGGCTTCCCGGAGCTATCCAGGCTGATATGGATATATTAGCTTTCTGCCATCGGTCAATGTGCATGGAGTTCTTGCCTACTGGGAACCATGAGCCAGAACCTAGCGCCCTCAGAAAGGTGAGGAGCAATGGCATTTAGAAATCCCCGTGAGGTTGGGAGCATTCTGTGTCTGCCATCGACCGGGTCTGGCACCCAGAAAGAAAAAACGCCCAAAACAAACCCCTATTCTGGTGAAAATGCTGCTACTAAAAGCCGAACGGGTGGACAGAACTCCCCAAACAAAAATTAGCAAACAAGCATAATGTCATCACATTGCCTCACTGCTGTCTGCGTAAACCGGTTGCGAAAAACCGCAACCGGACATAACACATAATGTACCCCTGGCCTGACCACTCATCATCAACAACCCAAGGACCCCCTCTGGTAAGCAGCAGACTCATACTTCACCAGAAAAGAAGGAGATGGCCGCAAATGAACCAAACTACCACCAGGACCAAAAGAGCAGAAAGCCCTGCACTGGAGAAGAGCATGAGAACCCCTAGAGGCTAATGCCAGTAAGAAAAAAAAAAAAGAGCCCTAGAAAAGCAATCCTGAACCAAAGGGGCCATGACAAACCGAGGAAAGGAGAAAGAAAATAAGGCACCCCAACCACGACCAGGATGGCTCAGGCGACGCATGAGCAGGCCGGAGGCAAAACAACGCAAGAGACAGCGTGTGGAACGAAGCAGAAGGAACATCAATACCGAATACAAGCTGCAGCAACTCCACCAACACTGCACGATATGAGGTGACAATATTTGGCATAAGATGATGGTCCTGGAACAACCATAAAAGGAAGGACAAAATAACCCTATCAGAGACCAAAGTACACCTATGCAGTGATAGGAAAAACCGGAAGGACCTCCAGGAAACGTCATACTGCCGCCAAGATGAAGCACGCAGGCAGGAGACCAACAACGAAGCCACCTATGCCAAATACAATGATGATAAACCCAAAAGGTATCGACCCCAACGACCTCGCAGTCGGGGAAGGGCGCCACATATACCGGAAGACGCCTCGACCACGCTGACGCAAAGAGGTCCACCTCCGGGCGCCCGAACGTCTGGCAGAGCCAACTGAATGAGTCAGCGTTGACCGTCCATTCCATGGACAGGGGAATGAACCGAGACTGGTCGTCCGCCAGAACGTTGGACACCCCATAAAGGTGAACCGCCAGGAGAGCCAAATCCCGAAAACTCAGCAGATGAGTCACCCGAAGCAACCAGCCCCAAAGAGCCAAGGACCTCATCGAACCCCCCACGGTTCAGATAATGAACCACCAGGGAGCAGTTTGAATGGAGCTGGATCATCGAACCACGGGCGACCCAAACCGTTCGAAGGGAAAACCACACCACCGCGAATTCTCGCACTGTGCTGTGGACTCGACGTAAGGACGAACTCCACCGCCTCTGGCCGGCCTGATGAGCACTGGTCACAAAGCCCCAGCCCAAAGACAACGTGTCCGTGAACACATCACATGAGGGCTCGGGTAAGCACCAGGGCATTGAACCCTGAAAGACATAAAGAGGAAGCCAGCGACGCAGCTACTGATGCAAGGGCTCCCAGCGGACGAACCCAGCGATCGCGAGAGCAGCGGAAAGTATGGCCCCAAAGAAACCGGAACAGCCGACAAAGCCAAACCCGACCTGGTGGGTAGACCATCACGGCAAAGTTCAGGATCCTGCACAAATCCTTGAGCAACTGCCGAGGAACCCAGGAGCCCCCCAGAAACAGGCAAAGGCGGGACCTCAGCCAAAGGAGTGACTCCTGGTCTGGGGCATCCCCTTCCCCCTCCCGGGGAGGGGGGAGCTGGGAAGATGGCGATGCGGCAACATGGTCATGTCATCCTCGTTTGCTCGTTTTTGTTTGGGGAGTTCTGTCCACTAGTTCGGCTCTCAGAAGCAATTTCGTAACCAGAATAGGGGCTTAATTTTGAGATGCTTACCTTTCTGGGTGCCTGACCCAGTCGATGGCAGACATAGAAGGCTTCCAACCACATGGGGGTTTCTATAGGCCATTGCTCCTCGTGCCTCTCTGAGGGGGCCAGGTTCTGGCTCGTGGTCCCCGGTAGGCCTAAGAACTCCATTCACACTGACTGACACCAAAGTCTAATATTAGCATATCAGCCTGGATAGCTCCGGGAAGCCGATGGGACCCCCCTTCCCCCAGAAAATATATCAGCAGTAGCAGTCAGTTTAAACCAAGTGGAATTAAAAATTAAGTGTGAAATCGAAGCAGTGTTATTTATTTATTTATATACTGTATATAAGGGCTGTTACATTCTTGTAAAACCACTAGCGCGCACAGCATTTCGGGCAGGTCCTTAATCCTAATTTTTCCCCCTGAATACGACCATTCAAGTCGTTTAACAACCAGGTACCCTATTCATTGCTGGGGTGAACAGAGGGCTACAGTTAAGGATTGGCACTCAGTCAATCCTTCCCGGCCTGCATACGAACCCAGCCCACAGCGTTTGCGAAGCGCCAAGTGAGTGTTTTACCACTGAGCCACGGGGATGGCACCCACAGGTTATAGGTAACATGGCTGGTAGAGGAGTATTGTATCGGTGTTACTCTTATTACAGTTTCTGGTAAAACGGTGTGTTAGTAGCTTTGCAAGAATGTGGCAAAGGCTCTAAAGCCTTTACCACAGGACATGTGAACCAACCCATGTACAGGCTCTCAAGCCTTTACCACAGGACGTGTGAACCAACCCATGTACTGGCTCTCAAGCCTTTACCACAGGACGTGTGAACCAACCCATGTACTGGCTCTCAAGCCTTTACCACAGGACGTGTGAACCAACCCATGTACTGGCTCTCAAGCCTTTACCACAGGACGTGTGAACCAACCCATGTACTGGCTCTCAAGCCTTTACCACAGGACGTGTGAACCAACCCATGTACTGGCTCTCAAGCCTTTACCACAGGACGTGTGAACCAACCCATGTACTGGCTCTCAAGCCTTTACCACAGGACGTGTGAACCAACCCATGTACTGGCTCTCAAGCCTTTACCACAGGACGTGTGAACCAACCCATGTACTGGCTCTCAAGCCTTTACCACAGGACGTGTGAACCAACCCATGTACTGGCTCTCAAGCCTTTACCACAGGATGTGTGAACCAACCCATGTACTGGCTCTCAAGCCTTTACCACAGGATGTGTGAACCAACCCATGTACTGGCTCTCAAGCCTTTACCACAGGACGTGTGAACCAACCCATGTACTGGCTCTCAAGCCTTTACCACAGGACGTGTGAACCAACCCATGTACTGGCTCTCAAGCCTTTACCACAGGACGTGTGAACCAACCCATGTACTGGCATTCAAGCCTTTACCACAGGAAAGGAGATATCCTGTGTCTTCCAAGTGACCATACAATAAGGACAACTTGTAAAGAATATTGATAAAACACCTGAGCAGCTGATTAATGCAAGACATACCATAGTACAGTATATATATACGAATGCAAAAATTCTATCTACGATAACAAGAGCGAGGTGATTTGTTGCTTTGAATCTTACACTTTTTAAAAATTGTATATTACCGACTTCTTATATCATGAACAGGTAATTAATCTAAAACGATTTTGTAAGGTTCAAATAAAGCTAGTTAATTTATATATTGCATTTTTCTATCCAAGAGGTGGCACTGAGGAACTTAAAATATTAAACTTTTTGGTACAGTATTAGCTTTAGGGAATGAATACTTTATTATATACCCTCAATGTATATTGTACATCATGGAAGAAACTCGGCCACTATCACTTCGCACCCACTGGCTTGCTTTAATCCCATAACTTACTGATTGAGCTTGTTGCAACTGTTGGGTCAATCTTGCAATTTCTTCATTACGTAGAACCAACTCACTCTCGCGTAGACGGAGCCGAGCGGTTGTATCTCTACCAGAATCGTCCTGTTCAGTAATTGAAATTATTAATGCCAATTTTGGAGATAAATGCCGTAGAGTCTTGTAATATAACATTTGAAAGAATGCACATGCAATAATTATTTACTGTGATCTGCAAACTGTACAGTTTTGAAATGGAATAATAAAGGAATCAATCTAATACTGTACTGTACACGTCATAAAAGCAGACATAAAAAGGAAATTGCCAGAGGTTTAAGGAAATTTCTCATCATTTTCTCCTGACATTGTTTTTACTAATAATGAGTTTATAACTAAAATGTTCTTGCACCTTAGTGTTTACCTGGAGCTGTGAGACCTTGGCAGATAAGTGAGTCTTCAGCAGTTTATTGCGTGCCTCTAGATCAAACAGCAGTTTGTTGGCATCTGTTAGCTGCTTAGTGAGGCTTTCTACTTTTTCTTCAAGAGCAGCAGACTCCAGACATTTGATGGAGTATTTCTGGGAGAGGGAAAGAATTTCATGCCGAATGTCTTCCATTTCTGCCTCGTGTTCCTTGTGTATAGCACCAATGTCATGTCCAGACTGCATCTTTTTAATAAATTCTTCTTTGAACTTGGCAATTTCTCTTTGGACCTCTGATTCATGTGCCTTTCTCATGGCATCCAAAGCAGCTAAGGTGGCCTGAGTTTCTTCAGCAAGTGCTTGTTCTTTTTCTGCCTGTAAAGCCGCCAGTTCTCGTCGATGTTTCTCCTCTAGTTCAGCAAGCATTCTCTTGTTAGAATTCTCCATAGCTCCCAAACCTTTCTCACATAACCCCTGAAAAAATATTAAACACTATATATAATCTGTAAAGAGTACTAACATTGTTAATTCGCTCATGTCCCACTGAGTGGAAATACCACATAAATAATACCGTCAAATAGAACATTAATGATTCTACTGTGCATGTCAAACAGGGATGTTCGTGCCATAGCTTAGCCTACTGTGCGAGTCAAATAGAGATGACAGAGTACTGCATAAAATTTAAAAGTCCCATGCATATTTGCTTCCTCAGGCCTCCAGTAAACAGATGTGGTCTTGGATAATAATCATGGGCACCCCCTCATGGGTGTGAGGGACTCATTATTGAGATAGCGACCATGGGTCGTAAATGATGCAGCAGTTCACAGCACCACTGTGCAGCTCCTGCCCATACCTCACTTAATATGGATGAAATAAATAAATAACTGTGATTATTTTGAGTTGATAGTCTCAAGGAAGATCCTGACTGTGATAATGACTATGTAGATCTGACCCAATGTAAACTGTCTCGGTTAAATTATTCACACACGCTCCATCCCTATGTGATGGAGTGCAAAAAGATGCACGAATTTAGAAACAGCTCTATAACAAGTGTTCAAGATGTGTGTAAATATTTCCATCAAAATAAATTACCTACTACCAGAAATTCTATCCAAATACTGTATCACTAGTTTGTTAGCTGTAGGTTGTAAATGTGGGTGACTGTACCCTTTCCACTGCTACCCACCGGATGGGGACGGTGCGCAGTATAAACACATCAACTTTGAAACTAAATTAGCTTATATATAAGCTGCTTAGCTTAACCAATTAATTGTTGATATAACAATATATATATTAAATTTTGTAACTTATTAAGTCTGTAACTTGCTTAGCTAAATGAAATTTAGATTTCAGTCCTTGAGCCTATTATGGGGCCTCTGTAACCTTTTCCACTACCGCCCACACAATGGGTTTGGCGTGCATAATAAATGCACTAAACTAACTCAGTGAACACAATGCTGGTCATGTTCTCAGTGGGAGGAAGACACACAGCACACTTGAGGTTATCTTGAGGTTATCTTGAGATGATTTCGGGGCTTTAGTGTCCCCGCGGCCCGGTCCTCGACCAGGCCTCCACCCCCAGGAAGCAGCCCATGACAGCTGACTAACACCCAGGTACCTATTTACTGCTAGGTATAGGGTGAAAGAAACTTGCCCATTGTTTCTCGCCGGCGCCTGGGATCGAACCCAGGACCACAGGATCACAAGTCCAGCGTGCTGTCCGCTCGGCCGACCGGCTCCACTGCCATTGTTTCTTGGATAATTATTTATATTTATGATTTAGTGACCGGAATCTGAGAAGAATAGCAGAGGTGTTGTCAGAGTAGCGATGTGCTTAGTATATAGGAGGCATTTTGCTGCATCAGGTGGTGTCATCTGCTGGCACCATCTGCTGATACTGGTGTGTTTGGCACTATGCTGTGCTTGGATTTCATTCCACACCTACCAGAACTGCTTAGTGGCTCATAATGGTGCAAAAATGTACAGATAATATCCACTCGATTTAAAGACTCCAATGGGGCCATACCTTATTCATTAGTCCGGGCTCCACTAAACCCGGAGGTGTTAAAATGTTGGTAACTTATTAAATTATATTCTGGAGGGTACCAGGTCAAAACTGCAAATAAGGTTACAGTTACTGATCTCAAATTCAGCTGTTAGAACCTTCAGGTCGATAAATCAGAAGTCCTTAAAATCAAGTGGACACTGATATCGTGTGTATATAGTGTAATAACAGCAAAACTGTTCTATTGTTCAAAGAATATAATATTGTGCACATGTTAGTGACACAAATGTGTGTGTGTACCAAGTTCTGTGATACAATTGATTGCCCAATGCATCCTTGCACTTGAGAAATTTTGTAAAACATTAAAAATATGAATATATTCAATGCATGCAGTTTAAATTTAATGAAAAACATGTAGGGCTAGCCTGAACTCTGATAACTTGTTACAAAGATTATTACACCCGCCAGAATTGCTTAGTTTATTTATTTTTTATTTATTTATTTATATATACAAGAGTTCTTACATTCTTGTACAGCCACTAGTACGCGTAGCGTTTCGGGCAAGTCCTTAATCCTATATTCCCTGGAATACGACCCCGCGAAAAATCGTTTTACAACCAAGTACCCATTTTACTGTCGAGTTAAACAGAGGATATAGTTGAGGGTTTGCGCCAGTAAATCCTCCCCGCCCAGGATACAGACCCAGAACAAAGTTCTTGCGAAACGCCAGGCTAGACAGAGCACCACAAGGTGAATGCCAAATGAATGCTCGTGAAGCGCGAGACTTCTGGGATTCACTACGGCCAAAGTGAGTCACACAGCATTTTTTCCGTGATCAGGGATTGCATTTTAACAATGTTAAAAGGACAAAATTTGTTGTAATTTTGTCCAGCGGATTGGCTATAAATAGATAAATAGTGGCACAGTACAGGGGCTGAATAAAGTAATATGTCACAAAGTTTCCAGTTGTGAAATACAGTCTTTCAAATAGACAAAGTGGGATCAAATTTGTTTCCTGGCCAGCTGTCTAAGCTGAAATTTATCATTACTTTTCAGGTAAATTTATTCTGCCAATGTCATGTCCTCATCAGGAAAAATCAATTTGAGAACACTATTACCTTTTCAATATTATCTTATTATTCTATTTCCCACTTCATGTGTGGTGAAGTGACCTTCACCACCCATGGGTTTACGACGTGTTCAACACGTCTTGTTCAACAACACTTGTATCACCCGTGGGTGGTACACAGCCATCAGTGTGGAGGTAATTATCGGGAGAAAATACTAAGACATCATGACTAAAGAGCACTTTGAAAGGACAGGTAGATAGTTAATAAGAGCTGTCTAATCTACTCTTACTTTTATATTGGCTACAAATATGATGCTGGGCAACTTGAGTCACACAACATTTCAGTAATACCAATTATCTAGGCTTCCTGAACCATTACAAGTACACTAATTACACATACAGTATAGCCATAAATACATTAGTGTTGCCATATAATTTACGGTTAGTGAAGTTCTGTCTTGGTTAGATAGAAGAAATGACAGTTTTTCATGTGGCCTAAGTAAAGACTTTTCCCAAATTATAAAATTTTCAACTTACTCTAAGATGTTCAATTTCGACTTGGTATCGCTGTCTGACTTTCTCCTCGCACATATCAGGTTGACTCCCAAGGGCTTCCTCATATTGCTCTTTGAGTGCTATGATCTGTGCTTCATAGCCATCCTCCAGGAGACAAAGTCTCCGCTTCAGTTCAGTCAGTTCATCATCACTATCACGAGTTGGTGGCTCATATCGTACTTCTTCACGCAACCTTAGTATCTCATCATCATGCTGTGCCTGAAGAGCTGATAGTGCTACTCTGTGATCTTGTTCAACAACCTGTTAATGTGGAAAATAAATTATAGAAACAAAATGTGATTCTAAAACTCCAATAATGTTTCTTTATGGTTGTGTCTATTTAATGTTATCCTTTTCATTTATGCTGAAATAAAAACAGCAAGAAATATTATTATTTACTGTACAATTTATTCATTATCTTAAAAAAATTAATCTATTATAATGGCTACAGAATACCTTAACAGATTGAATAATATAGTGATATAGGCTCCTTTCTAGATCATCACTAACCTTCAAGGTGTTCATATACTCAAGGCATTGTTTGCACTCTGCCTCTCGCTCCTTGACCCGTCTGGAGTCTAAGTTTCTCTTTAATTTTGCAACCTCTTGTCGGAGTTCTTCACACTGACGACATCCATCTGTCATCCCAGTGATGTCGGAGGCTCTCCGGGACCTGCGACTTTCACTCTTCCTCTTGACCTTAGGCGAAGCTGGCATCTTCGGAGAAGTTTGACTTAGATTAAGAGATGACTCATTCTCGCCATCCTTTACTGGGGCTGTATGGGAAGAGGCGGGCTTGGAAGTGGTTGATGAAATATCTACCTTGGATTGACTGGCAGCCTGAATAACAAGTTTACTGAGTTCACTGTTGCCTTGAGCACTGGCCTTGTTGAACAAGTATGTAAATTCTGCTTGGTCAAGGGCTGGCTGTATGAGACTCTCCAGTGAGGAGTCACATCCACCAAGGAACATAAGGAGGTGAGCTTCACTAGCAACCACATCACTAGCAGAGCCAACATTATCACGTGTCTCTTCTACAATTGTTAAAGGCTCAGAAGTGGACGATGTAGATTCTCCATCACTTTGGACAACTGCTAACTGGCCATCAATCACTGCCTTCTGTGCTATGACTGCTGCAAATTCTGACAGAACCATATCCATGGATGCTGAAACAGAATTAATTATGGCTGTATCTCCTGCACGATACTGAGCCAGCACTGCTTCATACTTATTACTCAGTGTAAATACAGCCTCTTCCATTTCCTGACGAAGTGACTCTTCAGCTGCTGTATGCCAGCGTTCTAATGTGGCTGCTGTTGGGTGTATGAGAGTAGCTACTGGCGAGTCATTTACTGTGAGCAAGTTGCTCAATTTTCTAAGTGATTGAGCAGCTTCTGTATTGACTAGCTCCTGTCCAACTAGGTCCTGTGCCATTGACCAGATTTCCCGCATTCTCACCTCCTCCAGCAACACAGAGTCATCATGAGGAGGACCAGTACCTGTCACAGTCTCCCGAGCCATCACTACTGCTACCTCATGAAGCTTACCCTCTTTGTACTGAGTGATCAGGTTGGCTAATGACCTTTCACGCTCTAATAAGCGAGACTGAAGGTCCCGGCATGTCTCGGTGAGGGCAGATGATGGGACTACAGGTGTACGGCCACTGCGTGACTGATGGCAGATACTGGAAGCCACCTCCCCTTGCACCACTAATTTCTCTGCTAGCAAACTTGTATAGAAATCTAATGGTGCCATTGTTTCCATATCAAAATCAGGGTTAGTCAGTTTCTTCTCCAAGAATGAAAGTTTTCGGTGGGCTTCTATTAATTCCTGGAGTTTAACTGATGCTTCATACATGTGTGGTCGTTGAGCTGCTTGAACAACCTGGGCTACTTGTGTTAATACCACAGTCTCGTAAGCGAGCCGCTCAGCAAACATCTTTAATTGCATTTCTCTTGTCCACTTGCCAGCTGCCTGTAAGACAACAAAATGACCAGTCAGTTGTTATAACTTGCAGTTCTTTTTCTGACATATTTCACCATTATAACCCAGAGTAAAATCAAATTGCACGATATTTATTAATATTTATAAGTATCGTACACCTTCATTTCAATAAATTTTCAAAAAATCTTAAACAAAAATTCACTTGAAACATGGGTAAGAGCTAACATAAACAAACCTTAAGATGGTCTCGACGATTAATTAATTCGGTCAACTTCTCCCTGAGCATATCTTGCAGGCGCATGACTAATGGACGGAGCTTGACGACTTGAGCCTGGTCGAGCGGAGTGTGGCGGAGCTCGGCTATCTTTATAGCAGTACTCAAGCGTTGCTGTAGCGAGGAGATCCCGGGGGCGCCACAGGAACACACGCACTCCACTGAGCCAGCCCAAGCAACACACTCACTCAACTGCAACATTAAGGCTTGATAATGGAGCATGAAAATCTCAAATCAAAGCTATAATTTGTATTTACTATACCATACTGAAAGTACTTATTTAATTCTATTTTTATCATTTCTTAAACTTGAATAAAGACATCTATATAAAGCAACATAATGGCTGCAGACATTTTGTAGCTGGATGAATATGACAACCAGTTAGTTGTATGTTCGATGGAAACTTTCCTTTAGTTTTTTCAAGGCACAAAATAAAAACAAGCTTATCATGGAGGAGTCATTAGACTAACCTGGGACTCAAGTGTTGACAACACTTTCTCCAAGCCAGCCAATTTTTCTCGCAAATGTTTGGTTTCCGAATCAGAACGGGTTAGTTTGACAGCTTTTTCAGGAGTGACTCGGGGTGAGCGCAGTGTTTTTCTGGGCAGTGATGGTGATCGCATGGGAGACCTGGAGATGCAATGTTACACTTTATTAACTGTTATAAAATAATTTATGTAAGTTACAGCCCCACTCCGTGCCAGGTAAGTCCACTACGGGCTCAACATAGCCCATGTTACTTGGAACTTTTTGTTGTCAGAATCTAAAACAAACAACATTTAAGTACAATTTTAGTGTCACGAATTTTAGAATACACTAAATTTTAAATTTTGACTGTAAGATATGATTGCACAATGTCTTTCATAAAACACAGGTAACCAATATTTACCTAAATAATATTTGGCTCATTGCATTTGCATATGTTAAATACCTTACGAGAAAGCAAAAACAGATCAGTAATACAATAAGAGAAGAGCAGGTTAATACCTGCAGGTGACCTAGAATACTGACTTGAGAGATGATGCTGGATGAGTTGGAGACCTTGGCTGTGATGGTGTCTTAGCAGCAGCAGCAGCAGCATCATCTGTGGCAGCTGATGCTGTAACTGCCTCACCACTCAAACTTAATACCTGCAATTACAATCCTCACAAGTCTTAAATTTAATGATAAAAAAGGGAACCAATAGTTACATAATGTGTATTGCAAAACTATAAACAAAATTATTCTTTCCTTTTTATAAATATAGCTACCACTCTTGTCATGTGTTATCATTTGAGAAAATACTTGTTTCTTTTACAGCAAAAATTCAGTGAATTAGCTACCTTACTGTATTTTATTCTTAGCTCGTATAAAACCACACTGTCTTGCATCAGCAGTATTATACTCGGTATACTAGCTTGTCTCTACTTGTAGTAACTGAATTATGTGGATAATGCTTGCCTACTTGCAGATTATACCTTAAACTCAAAAATTTTACATTCAACAGCAATATTATAATGTACAGTACAATCAAACTGAGTTTTTTTTTAACATAAAAATTCAAACTGCCCAAGAATAGGTTTGCCTGTACACAAGTTGGTGGCCAAGACCCATGCAACCAATTGCTGTACTGTGTACGATGCCAAAATAACACACTTCGGACTCCTCACACTTGTCATGTATTTATGCACATTTTGTATTACAATACATTCATGCATCATGGCACCTAACTAGCTTTATATATCTTATTTTGTACTGTATTTTGGTTTGAAGACAGTAGGAATATTTAGTAATATGTTAATATAAGTGTTTTTTTGAGAAGTGTTCAAAATAAAGCTTTCAACTTGTGAAAAGCTCCAATGAGCTGATTCATTCAGTTATTCCTTAATGCATAACCATCCATATCCTTGGATATTAACAACTGCACTGTGCAAAGAACCTTAAGGCGCTTTAAGGGTTGTGTGGTTTTTTTTAATTAGACTATATTTTAAGGTTTTTTAATGTTTTCATTGCTCTTTGTGATTTGAAATGAAAATTATTGAGTTTGGAAACATTTTGACATTAACATTAGCTGAACATTTATAAAAACAAAAAATATGTCCTTAACAACTGCACCATGAAATTTTTGCCAAAAATAGGTGCGCAGTGCAGAGGGGTTAATAGTAGAGTCAGCCACATACAACACACAACCTATCCTCCAGATTAGATAGTACTTTTTGCAACTATGTAGACCATTGTACATACATAGATGTAACTGACAATTAGATAGTAGGATTAGAAACTATTGACTTTATAAGAGCCCAGAAAAAATAAAGCTAAAATCTAACTTAAATATTCCTAGAAAGGTAAGGTCAGGTTAAATTTTCTTTGCAACATCACTACAAAAACTTTTCCAAATTCAATAGTACCAATTTCTACTTCTAGCTGTGTTTTATGTCAAGAAAGGTATGATGGTCCTCATCATTACTATAAATACTACCTAAATAGGAGGATGGGCTGACAGCACAGTATTGTATGTTTATCACCAGAGAGCTAAGGAACAGACACGTGAGCCATGCTCACTGTAAATCAACATATATGGCCCTGAGCAAAGTATGACAGCAATGAATGAAGATACATAGGCTAATAGGACTAACAGTTGTTCATATCAACACTGAACTCTCATGAATAGATTTGAAGATTCAAGGAGCATGCAAGGGCTAGTCAATACACATGTGAAACAGAGTATAACACAGATCACAATATAACAGAAAAACATGACCCCACAGCACACTAGAAACCAAGTTTCAGAATGCTAAAAAAGTAAACTCAGAGGTACCAGCCTGCTGATGGCACACCAGGACAACAGTAATTACCTAAGTGTAGTTATAGGATGAGAGCTACGCTCGTGGTGTCCCGTCTCCCCAACACACTGTCATATAACACTTTGAAATTACTGACAGTTTTGGCCTCCACCACCTTCTCACCTAACTTATTCCAACCATCTACCACTCTGTTTACAAAAGTGAATGTTCTTATATTTCTCCAGCAGCTTTGTTTCGTTAGTTTAAATCTATGTTCTTGAAGTCTTCCCTATCAATTTTAACGATTCCTGTTACTAATTTGTATGTAGTGATCATATCGCCTCTTTTTCTTCTATCTTCTAGTTTTTGCATATTTAATGCCTCTAACCTCTCCTCGTAGCTCTTGCCCTTCAGTCCTGGGAGCCATTTAGTGGCATATCGTTGCACCTTTTCCAGTTTGTTGATGTGCTTCTTAAGATACGGGCACCATACAACCGCGGCATATTCCAGCTTTGGTCTAACAAAAGTCGTGAACAATTTCTTTAGTATTTCTCTGTCCATGTATTTAAAAGCAATTCTGAAGTTAGAAAGTGTAGCATAGGCTCCTTGCACAATGTTCTTTATGTGGTCCTCAGGTGACAGTTTTCTATCTAAAACCACCTTTAGATCCCTTTCTTTGTCAGAATTCTTTAAAGATTTCTCACATAATTTATAGGTTGTGTGGGGTCTATGTTTTCCTATTACACATTCCATAACATGGCATTTATTCACATTAAATTCCATTTGTCAAGTGATGCTCCATATACTTATTTTGTCCAGGTCTTCTTGAAGGGCATGACAACCATCTAGGTTTCTTATCTTCCCTATTATCTTACTATCAGCAGCAAACATGTTCATATAATTCTGTATTCCAACGGGTAGATCGTTTATGTAGACAATGAACATTTCCGGTGCAAGAACTGAACCCTGTGGTACAGTATTCCACTCGTGACATTCCTCCAATCCGATACTTTGCCTCTGATTACGGCCCTCATTTTTCTGTCAGTCAGGAACAATTTCATCCATGTTAGAAGCTTACCCATCACCCCTCCAATATGTTCCAGTTTCCAGAACAACCTCTTATGTGGAACTCTGTCAAAAGCCTTTTTTAGGTCCAGATAGATGCAGTCAACCCAACCATTTCTTTCCTGTAAAAGCTCTGTGGCTAGATCATAGAAACTGAGTAAGTTCGTTGCACAGGATCTTCCAGATCGAAAACCATACTGTGTCTGATATTATTTCGTTTTTCTCCAGGTGTTCTACCCATTTAGTTTTAATTATTTTTTTCCAATATTTTGACTATGACACTTGTCAATGATACAGGTCTATAATTAAGGGAGTCTTCCCTGCTGTCACTTTTGTAGATTGGAACTATGTTAGCCTTTTTCCACACTACTTCTACAACTCCTGTAAACAGGGATGCCTGAAAAATCAGTTGAAGTGGAATGCTGAGCTCAGGTGCACATTCTCTCAGAACACAGTGAAACTCCATCTGGACTAACTGCTTTGTTCTTACTTAGCTCCTTGAGCATTCTTTCCACTTTGTCTCTAGACATTTCTATGTGCTCTAAGTTGTTCTCTGGAATTCTTACTGTGTCTGGTACCCTGAAGATATAATTTTGTACAAACACACTTTGAAACTTTTTGTTTAATGTTTCACACATTTCCTTTTCATTTTCCGTGAATCTATTTCCCATTTACAACCTCTGAACATTATCCTTTACCTGTAATTTGTTGTTTATGAATTTATAGAATAGACCTGGTTCTGTTTTACATTTGTCTGCAATCCTTTTTTCAAAATTTCTTTCTGCCTCTCTTTTCACTGCCATGTAGTTGTTTCTTGCATCTTTATATCGCTGCTATGTTTGGGGGTTTGGCCTCTTCCTATATTGATTCCATTTTTGTGTCTTTTGGTCTCTGGCCCTCTTGCAATTTCTGTTGAACCAATCCTATTTCCTAGTTCTGCATCTCTGTTTTGATATAAATTTTTTTGTGCCTTTATCATATATTTCACAAAACTTGACATACATCTCATTTGCTTCCTTGCCTAGCAACAAGTCTGTCCAATTATACTCACTTAAAAAAATTCTAAGGTTGCCATAATGTCCTCTCCTGAAGTCAGGCTTTTCAACTGCTTTAACCTCCTTATTTTCTTCCAGATTATAATGCATTGCATACTTTATTCCCAAAAAGACATGGTCACTTTCACCCAAGGGAGGAAGGTACTGAATGTCAAATCTCTCTTCCTCCTTCCTGGTGAATATCAAATCTAGCATGGAGGGAACATCCCCTTCCCTCATCCTCGTAGCTTGTTTAACAAGTTGATACAAGAATGTTTCTAGGATGAGGTCTACAAACCTACAGGTCCAAAAATCTTCTGTTCTAGCTTCATATGCTTCCCAGTCTATGGATCTCAAGTTGAAGTCCCTGACTATCAACAGTCGTAATCTATCTTTATCTGCTCTCGATATAATCTATCTCATTATTGTTATAAGACCCTCTCATTTACTATCTAGCTCCTCTTTTGTTCATGTGTTGCTTGGCGGTGGACTTTCTGCATTTATGATCATTAGTTTATCATCCTCATGGCAGATCTCTAATGCTATTACGTCAACTTCTCGTGGATTGGCAATTATTATTTCGTTCACCTTTAGGTGAACAGTCATGAGGTATTTGTGCTGGCTTATGAAAGTGAACATATGAATAAAGGTAAATGCTGAAGACCCATTGGCCTATATGAGGCAGCTCCTACTGTACTGTATTTATATCCAGCCAAGATCTCGAGATCCTGTTTGGAGGTCACCTGTGTTTGCAAGTGACAGTTTGGAAGGACTTTGAATTATTTAGGAATACCTTTTTGATGACTATTCTCCATCTGAATTCCTCGACACATTATAACCCTGTGGAGATACTTGAAAATTTGTGATACGGGACTGACTGCACAAGCTGTCGCACTCTTATGTTGCTTTAAGGCTTTAATACAACAAAGACTCTCATACTGTATATCATTTCCTGACAATAACACACTTCACAAACTCTTGTCTACTGGATTGGAATAAATGTGTCTTAAAACCAGTTGCTTTAGTATCCTCTACTGTTTTCATGTCCTGGCACTATAACTATGTACCATATCCAGACATTATAACTACCATGTCCTGGCATTATAACTACCATGTCCTGGTATTATAACTACCATGGTATTATAACTACCATGTCCTGGCATTATAACTAGATTATTACCAGAACTGAGAGGCCTCAGCTATGAGAACAGGTTGAGAGAACTCGTCCTCACAACCTTACCAGAGAGAAGAAACTAAGGGGATACGACAACTTTACACATCTTGAGGGGAAGAAAAATGAATAGAGGGAGCCTATTTAAATTAAAGATAGGTAGGAGAAGAGGACACTGGTGGGAGATTGACTTCCAAGTAAGGCCAAAAGATTAATTCATTGTGTCAAGGGACAGGAAGCCAGAGTGTATTTATACACGTTTGACTTTCATCGAGGTCCCCCTCCTCCGCTTTCCCCCAGGCTGAATTACTGACCCCACCCAGGTGCAAGAGTCGGTAATGCAAGATTCAATGTCAGTAATGTAAGTAATGCAAGGGTCTTCCTTGAAAGTTGCAAGGAAGTTCTCGTTCCTTGTATGGGTGGTCAGCAAGTGGAATGCATTGAAGGAAGAGGTTGTTGAAAATAATTTTATCCACAACTTTAAATGATACCATGCAAACATCAAACAAGTTTCTACTATAAAAGTATTATTCTTAAATAAATTGTGTTCTGCATTCCATTATTACCTTGGATTCAAGTGTATTGAGTCTCACAATAGCTTTCATGGCTTCCGAGCTTGATGGACTATCGAGCGATTTTCTGCGTAATCGTGAAGACTTGGTGGATTCATCAAAGCTTTTAGACCTTTTTGGTATTTTTGGTTCCTTGGGTTGGCCATTTCCACCCTTGGTTTCCTCTTCCACCTAAGTAACAAAATGCAAATCTTATATACACTAGACTGATCTAATATCATTTAGCACCATTTCAACAGACTCGCATGCAATCATTGTTATTGTTTCTAAATTGCTTACAGACATTTCTTGAAGATTAAAGCACATTTATTGCACATTCAATGACATAGCTTAAGCCTTCATCAAATAATATCTAGCAATAAAGTTAATGGATTAGTCTAGAATGCAAAATACTACTTACATCTGGTAATGCAGCTGCAGACTGCATTAGCTGTTCAATCTTTGCTTCTAGCTGAGACAACTTTAACTCCATATCTCTCGAGAGAGCAAACGACTCTCGGCCTTTGAGACTTTGAGTTCTCCTACGATCTCTACTTTCTGCACGACTGATTTTCTGCTTCAAGAGGCGAACCTAAAAGATTTGTTTCAAGAATTAGTTATATATTTACATAGCATATAAAAACATCAAGTTGAGAATAGTTTGGATAAAGTTATGATTACATTTTCCTTTAACCCTTAAACTGTATAACACGTCACTAGCTGGGGCGAGTAACTGTTGCGGAATTGTGCACCGCAGCTATTGATGTGTTGGAATACTGCGCAAGATTTATAAGTCTTGCGGTTACACGGGGTTCACATCAGCTTCCTCAGGGCTCTTGTAAACAGACGCCATTTAAACAAAAATCGTGGGCAACATTCCCAGGTGTGAGAGCCTCAGTACTGAGTGAGCAACCAAGGTTGGTGCATGCAGCATGAGCTAACAGTACTGCTGTTCAGCTTGTGACCACAGCATCACCTAAAAATGTCAAAATAAATATGTAACTGGTATTATTTAGCTATGATAGTATTACAGAAGACCCCTGACTGTGATAAAAAAAAACCAGGATACTAATAATAGCAGGATTGTTGTGGTAATTAGCGCTGTGTGTAGTATGGTAGGAGGAGTAATGCTGAGGGAGATGGGGTCTGCTGAGACTATGTGGCCACCTGTTATTGTCTGAACTCATCACACCAGCTTAGTGGTTCGCTATGGTGAACACAATTGTAGATACTTATATATAACATGTGTATATAGTGAAATAACAGCAAAAGGAATATGTTGGGAGGAGCCATTTTGGTGAATGAGGTGGCATCATCTGCTGGCTGCTGTGTCTCTTGTCATGCAATTTTGTTGTGGCCACTATGTTGTTTGGACACAACACAAGCTTAGTTGTACAGTTATGGTGATTAAAACATGTAGATACTTATATATAATGTGTGTGTGTAGTGCGTCTGGCCTTGAACGAGGGAGGGAGGGAGGGAGGGAGGGAAGTATACTGTAGTGTACAAACAGCACAAACGGTATAGTGGGAGTAGGAATGTTGGCGAGTGAGGGAGGAAGCATCAGCTGACTGTGTGGTAATCTTAATTATTGTCTTGACTCACCATACCAGCTTAGTTGTACAGTTGGTTCACACATTTTATTATATATCACACTACACACTATTGAATAATGTTACTGCAAAACAACAGAGAAAACCTCAATCGGATACAATGAAATAATTAGGTAATAATATCTGTGGCAGCTTCCACCTGACAGCTTGAGTGGAGCAGACCTCCTCCGACGCTAGCTCTCTCGACGCCTTTTTTTTTTTTTTGCCAGATTTCTCCACCCTATTGCGGCCAAAATATGCCACCTATGATATTTTTATTATTTTTCCCATGATCAGGGAACACAAATGAACACTTTTATAAGATGAAAATTATTTATTTTTATTTTTTTTATTTCTTGCACCTGGACATGTTGCAGGCTATAATTGCAAGATCAGCCCAGGGGGTTAAAAGACTTAGAGTAGTACCAATCACAAAATAGATACTGTACTGCCATTATATGCAAACTTGCCACAAGACAAAACTGAAAATGGAAAAGACTAGTCGTATAAACTATAAAAGCGAGAAATGGATTAAAGAACATAATTATACCTGCTTCTCTGAATTGGTGAGTTTATTAGTCAGATCTTGTATTCTGCATGTCATGAGACTCAGCTGGGAATTAAAGTCTCCTTCGCTGCCCTTAAGGTCTTGCTTAAGTTTCAAGTTGGAGAGTTCCATTTCATCCTGCTGATTTTGAACTTCCCGAATTTCTCTCTTCAAAGCCTTGATCTCATTCACAGCCTTCTCAAATCTCAGCCGGAGTTCATTGTATTCATCAACCAGCCTGTTGAGGGATGCAGGAAATATTTTGAATGAATAATATAGTTTAAGGGTACTGATGTCCTGACACCCGTACAGTACTTGAAAAGAAACTATAGTACCTCTACTGTTGCATAAAACTTAACCACAAAAATGCCATGAGGTCCTCAAATCCACTGTACTACAATAACATGGCGAAATATGAAAGGTATCTGAAAAGATACTTTTTCAAAATAATTAGAACATGATTTTCTATGACTGAGAATGCTTCATAATTATTGAGTGTTTTTACCTACACAGAATCAAGATACTTTTGTACGACCTAAAACAAAGATATTAAGATATTTTATATCTTTAATAAAATTTGTAAATATGAATTTAAAAATAGTAAAATATAAGAGTGTCTAATTACATTCCTTTGTACTTTTTAGGTAGATGTACCCAAACTTAAATCGTATAGAGACAAGGATAATCACCTAGATAGATGCATAATGAACATAATGTAGCCAAACACAGGTGCCACAAGACCCAAAGAGCTGGAGCTCCAATGCACATACAATATAGTACTGTACTGTACTTTATTCCTAAATCAATTGCAAATGCTACCAAAGCATGCTGACACACCATGCTATCTGATATGGCACATTAACACTTGGACAGCAGCTAAATGAAAATAGTCATTCCTGCCTATGTCCAATAGAATTTTTTTTTTTTAATTCCATTATAGGACATTAATTTGTAAGCAAAATTTAAGAAACATGTGAAAATAAGTGAATATTTATCTTTTTACTGGGTGGAGGTGCTCTGAAAGGTTGCGTGGTGGCCATGTGGTTTGGCATCTGTCAACACACCATGTCGACTTTGCTGACACTGAGGTATAACACACACAACTACTGTGTTCTTCTCATATGTTTCATTGATTGTTTATCACTTGTTTCTATATTTTTACAAGAGTATGTGTGTTGAATAACTTGATAAATCACATAATTCACATAACACATGATAATGTTTGAATTGATATACATACCAGGCTTACCTGGTATATTTCATTACAATCATATAGTAGTGAAAACCATATAAACATAATGGTCAATGGTATTGGGCTTATATCTGGTGTTGGCTAGTCTGACTGGTAGTAGTCGGAGCATAAGCACAAGGGGGAGCTACCGAGAACACTGCCCATAAGTTGTCCTTAATAACCTACAGAGTCTATTGGTAAAACTTATATCAAGAAAAGCCAGAATATTAACTATGTACCAACATTCATACTTATGACACTCACTGTTCTTTGTCCAGTTCATCTGGTTCTAGAGTGAAATCAAAGTTTGTGAGGTCACTGATGGAGTCTATGCGAGGAAGGTTTTTCTTAGAGGAGAACCTTTCACGGCTGCTGGAAATGGATAAATTGGAAGATGCTCGTCGGTCCTGAGGAAGAGAATGGGAAATTAGCCTTGACAAAGTTATTATTAAACTTAAATAGATCAAATTAGTAAAAATTCCATACTAATCATGTGAAACGTACACAGAAGTTAATAATAACAAGATTGCATAGAGGGTAAGGGAGTATGTATGTGTGTATCCACATACAAATTAGAAACTTTTGTATGTAGTATCTCTAGGAGTTTGCACCATCTGCTGATGTAGACTTGACTAAATGTAAACTGTCAGCAGAACTGGTTGATACCTGGTTGATGGGGTTCTAGGAGTTCTTCTACTCCCCAAGTTCTGACTTGTGAGAGTTTGGTCCACCAGGCTGTTGCTTGGAGCGGCCTGCAGGCCCACATATCCACCACAGCCCAGTTGGTCCGGCACTCCTTGGAGGAAACAATCTAGTTTCCTCTTGAAGATGTCCACGGTTGTTCCAGCAATATTTCTTATGCTCGCTGGGAGGGAGTTGAACAATCGTGGACCTCTGATGTTTATACAGTGTTTTCTGATTGTGCCTATGGCACCCCTGCTCTTCACTGGTTCTATTCTGCATTTTCTTCCATATCGTTCACTCCAGTACGTTGTTACTGTATTTTACTGTGTAGATTTGGTACTTGGCCCTCCAGTATCTTCCAGGTGTATATTATTTGATATCTCTCTCGTCTTCTTTCTAGTGAGTACATTTGGAGGGCTTTGGGACGATCCCAATAATTTAGGTGCTTTATCGTGTCTATGCGTGCTGTATATGTTCTCTGTATTCCTTCTATTTTCGCAATCTCTCCTGCTCTGAAGGAGGAAGAGAGTACTGAGCAAGACGTACTCAGTACTCAAGACGAGACAACAGAAGTGACTTTAAGAGTACAACTATTGTGATGGGATCTCTGGATTTGAAAGTTCTCGTAATCCATCCGATCATTTTTCTGGTTGATGCAATATTTGCTTGGTTATGCTCCCTAAATGTTAGGTCGTCAGACATCATTATTCCCAAATCCTTTACATGCTGTCTTCCTACTATGGGCACATTTGATTGTGTTTTGTACCCTGTATTATATTTAAGGTCCTCATTTTTACCATACCTGAGTACCTGGAATTTATCACTTAAACATCATGTAATTTTTTGTTGCCCAGTCGAAAACTTTATCGATACCCTGTACCTGCTTGAAATTTTCTAATGTCTTCAGCTGAGGTAATTTTTATACTGATTTTTGTGTCATCTGCAAAGGATGATACGAAGCTGTGACTTGTATTTTTGTCTATATCTGATATGAGAATAAGGAAAAGCAGTGGTGCAAGGACTGTACCCTGAGGTACAGAGCTTTTAGCTGCGCTTGGACTATTTTATTTGGTTGACTGTAACCTGCCGAGTCCTGTTTGACAGAAAACCGAGTATCCAGCGTCCTACTTTACCGGTTATTCCCATTGACCTCATTTTGTGTGCTATCGCTCCATGGTCACATTTATCGAAAGCCTTTGCGAAGTCTGTGTATACCACATCAGCATTCCATTTTTCTTCTTGAAATCCAAAACCCGAAATCTTCTGTTCCGTTCGAAATCCATGTTGGCCTGGGTTGTGGTGGTCATAGGTCTCCATGAAACTATTGACCTGACTCCTAATCACTCTCTCAAATACTTTTATTATGTGCGACGCTAGTGCAACTGGTCTATAATTCTTTGCCAATGCTTTGCTCCCTCCCTTGTGTAGAGGGGCTATGTCTGCTACTTTAAGTGCATCTGGTATCTCCCCCATGTCCAAGCTCTTTCTCTACACTATGCTGAGTGCCTGTGCTACCGGCACATTGCATTTCTTTATAAATATTGAATTCCATGAATCTGGACCCGGAGCCGAGTGCATGAGCATGTTTTCAATTTCTCTTTCAAAGTCTAGTATGCTCGTGTTGATATCAGTTATATTTACAGGGGTTTGGATATCCCGCATAAAGAAATTGTCTGGATCTTCCACTTTTATGTTGTTTATTGGAATGCTAAACATGTCCTCATACTGCTTTTTTAAAATTTCACTAATTTCTTTGTCATCCTCCGTGTATAAACCTTCACTTGTACGAATAGGTCCAATACTGGCAGTGGTTTTTGCTTTTGATTTTGCATATGTGAAGAAGTATTTTGGATATTTCTTTATTTCCTGAATTCCTTTCTGTTCTAACTGCCTTTCTTCAGTTTCATATGAGTGTTTCAATTTCCGCTCGATTTCTTCAATCTCCCTATTTAAATTTATCCTTCTTTGACGAGAAAGTCATGTCTGTTTGAGCATTTTCGTTATTTTTTCCTTCTTTTATAGTGCTGTCTGCGTTCTCTTTCTACGTTGGATCTCTTTCTGGCTTTCCTCAAAGGAACATGTTTCAGACAGACTTGATACGCTTCAGAAGTCAGTTTTTCTATTCCTCCTGTAGGACTTATATTACTTAGAACAGTTTCCCATGGAATGTTTGTAAGTTCCCTGTTTATTTTCTCCCAGTCTATCCTTTTATTATTGAAATTGAATTTACTGAATAATCCCTCTCGCTTCATCAACATTTTAGGTCTATTCTGAGTATTGATAGTCGTTTGCACTTCAATGAGCTTGTGATCTGAGTATGTGGTATCTGATATCGTAATGTCCCTGATAATGTCTGCATTGTTCGTAAAGACCAGATCTAGAATAATTACATTTCTCGTTGGTTCTGATATCTGCTGGTTATCTTAAGGTTATCTCGAGATGATTTCGGGGCTTTTTAGTGTCCCCGCTGCCCGGTCCTCGACCAGGCCTCCACCCCCAGGAAGCAGCCCGTGACAGCTGACTAACACCCAGGTACCTATTTTACTGCTAGGTAACAGGGGCATAGGGTGAAAGAAACTCTGCCCATTGTTTCTCGCCGGCACCCGGGATCGAACCCGGGACCACAGGATCACAAGTCCAGTGTGCTGTCCACTTGGCCGACTGGCTCCCTAGTGAAAGTGGTCGAGTGAAAATTTGTCACAGAATCTAAGTAGTTCTTTAATCTGCCTTTCTGCTTGTCCGAATGAGGCCAGATGCTTGTGGCTAGCATCACCCAACTTTCCAAGATGACACTTTGGGTTATGTGAATGTCATAGGTCAGTCAGAGGTCAGTCACAGTACTACCTTTTAAGAAATATTACCATTTATAGCAACTCCTTCAATTTTCATGAATTCTGAAACTGGAAGGGGGGATCCATAGAGGAAAACAAATCCCTGCCATTTACCTGGGCATTCTAGCCGTTTACTGGTACATTTTCGGTTTATATGCTTATTCCGCCATTACTTATAAACAATGAAAATTCATTCATTCTGACTACTTAGCTCTTACAGTATTAACTTTTCTGATAGAGGGGAGAGAAAGGAGAAGAGAGAGAGAGGGGGAGAGAGAAAGGGGCAGAGGGGGAGAGAGAAAGGGGCAGAGGGGGGGGAGAGAAAGAGGTAGAGAAAGGGGGAGAGAAAGGGAGAGATGGGAGGAAGGAAGAAAGGGAGAGAGAAAATTCCTATATTGAATGTAATGAAATGTGTCTTTCTGGTAACTCCAGAAAGACCTTGCCTGCAAATGATTGCTTGCCTTGCTTCCTTCATTGTTCATTTCCTTCCTTCAAGCAATAGCTTGTTTCTCTGCTTAACCTTCTTGGTTGGTTGTCTCACTTTTAAAGTTCTCCTCACCTCAAAGAATGAGGTCTGGTCATAGTTCTCAGTAAGTTAGTGGGGGCTTAAAGATGCCTGGTGCAGTTTCTAAGGTTTGTATATACCAGTACATAAGGACCAGTAGCCCCCCTGGTCCTTATGCAATGGTATATACAAACCTTACAAACTGAAGTTATTGGAGAATGTGAACAATGCTAATTCTAATACTCCCAACTGCCAACAGATGGAGGCCCAGGTCAACCAAGGGGCGGATGCATGAGAAGCACAGGATATACATATAGAAATCTAAACACGCCAAGCACAAATAAGCCCTAATGGGATGCAAATCCACATCCTAGAAATCAGCAGAATAAAATACAGCACATGTACACAATGACACCATCCCCACACGTCCCAGCACCCGGAGTCTCAGGGCAGACATCCCCAAGCCCAAGTATAGAGTCATGTAGGCTCGAGGTATATAAAACATCCGTGCCATGGCAAAACTACCCAGCAGCAAAGCAAAACATCTGCACTAAGAAACTCAGCCCGAGCACCCAGACAAAACAAACAGGAGTGCCCAAGTCTTAGCATTAAAAATTTTACCATTAGTAGATGTCATGTGAATGTATTCCTTGCAAATACTAATGATTACCTACTTAATCACCATCCCATTATTACACTGCTCTTGCTCAACTCCCCAAAACTGCTGACCCTATAAATATTTCTCTATTTGCTGCATCAACTACACAAAATATTTAACGGTATATCCAAATCTCTTGATTTTTCTCTAGTCCATCTGCTTTCTTGGACAGATAATAATCACTATCAAAATTCTTCTGCAATATAATTTGCTCACTTTGTCCTGTCGTTGTCGCTCCATCTCTCGTATCCTGCTGCATAATGTTTCATTTTCTTCAATACCACGATGCAAGCGATCCGCAGTGTGCTCAAGCTCCTTCTCTGTTGCTTTCAGTGAATCACGTAGACCTTCAACCTAATGCAAAAATGACAAATATAGTTATAAAAGTTGAGTCTACAGTATTAATGAATGTCACATGGCAGGATCATAATACCAAGAATTTTCAGAAGAGCATACTGGTACATTGCACTAACACTCCATAGGTATGTATAATTTTGTTTACATTATTTGGTAGGGTCAACCTCCAGAAATTGTGTCGATTGATATTGGTCAGTTTCTTTAATACAGTGTACAGTAAATTAAAGTATATTATATGTTACTTTCTCAAATTCTAACTGCATATCAGTACATACATGAAAACATACGTATAAATGAACTCTTTCCGAGAAAATATCCATGCTGGAGTTGATTAAGCCTATGTAGAGAATCAAGTGTGAAGAAGGATCAAAGTTTTCAAAGGATTAAAGCGGAAAATGCACTGGGTTTGGGCACCGAGCAAGTAGAGCCTGAAACAAGGTTGCGCTGGCCACCCAGGGGGGCCACCAGGATGACTCTCCCGTGATAAGACTCCAACTGAGCAAGAACCCAAAACAACAGCTGAACCGTAGAAAGAGGTATAGGTAACCTCACCTTGACCAGTCCTGCCGAAAGGCATCCACCGCGAACGCACTGTGATCGGGGAAGGGTGCCGCATATATCGGGAGACGCCGAGACCATGCCAATTCGAAGAGGTCCAGCTCCGGGAACCCATACGTCTGGCAGAGCTGACTGAAGGAGTCAGTGTCGACTGTTCATTCCGTGGACAGGGGAATGAACCGAGACAGGCCGTTCGCCAGGATGTTGGACATTCCCCTGGATATGAACCACATGGAGTCAAACCCCGAGAAACCAGCAGATGAGCCACTCAAAGCGACCAGCCCCAAAGAGGCTAGGACCGAAGGGGACTCCCACGGTTGAGGCAATGAACCACTGGAGAACAGGGCTCCGAATGGAGCCAGATCATGGAGCCCTGAGCGACTCAAACCCTCTGAAGCCACCGCCAAACTGCCGCGAACTTCCGCACTGTGCTGTGAGCCCAACAGAAGGAAGGACCCCAATGACCCTGGCCAGCGTGGCGAGTACTGGTCACCAAGTCCCAGCCGAGAGACGACCTGTCCATGAACACATCGAGCAAGAGTTCTGGTAGGCGCCAAGGCACTGAACCCCGAAAAACCTGAAGAGGAAGCCGGCGACGCAAGACCAATGGAGGCCAAACCCAGCAATAGTGTGACTGGCTAAAGAGGCATCCCCGAAGGAACCAGAACAGATGCCGAAGCCAAACCCGACCCAGCGGGAAAACCAGCACAGTGAAGTTCAGACTCCTGCAAACTGCTTGAGCAACCATCAAATGACCCGGGACTCCCCCTTCCTTCCCTCCTCCTCAGTCACAGCAACACCTCTGGAGGAAGAGACATGGAAGCGGTCCGAGAATTCCAAACAAGACCCAGCCAGGTCTGAACCCAAGACGGAACCAGATGGGACTTCCTACGGTTCAGCAGGAACCCGAACCCAGCAAGCTGGGAAAGAACCACACCCCTGGTGAGCAGACTGACTGGGAGCACACACCAGCCAGTCATTGAGGTAGGCCAGAACCTGAACCCCTAGCAGATGCAGATGGGTAACCACAACCCGGGTAAGATGCGTGAATACACAAGGTGCCAGATTTAAGCCAAAAGGTAGACGATGAAAGCGGTAAGCCTGAGCAGTCCCTGAACCTCGGATGAATGGGAATGTGCAAATACGCATCCCAGAGGACCAGGGACACCATCCAGGCACCCGCCTCCAACAGAAGCTGGTCCTGAGACAGAGTGGTCATCCGAAAGGAGGGGCAAAGAATCCAGGGGTTCAGACGGGTCAAGTCCAGAATGAACCACAGATCTGCACGATCCCATTTTGGCAATGGAAACAGGCTAAAACCCCACCTGAGGGACGGGGTCGTTTTGACCACTCAAGCGCACACCACTTGGAGATGACCCGACAGAGCACAGGGAAGGAAGCCTGCCCGAAGTGCCCACAAATCAAGGGACCAGGCGTGAGCAAACAGAGCGAGCCCCCCCCCCCCCCCACATCACCCCATCAACGGGGAGACCCAGGAAAGGGCCGACACCCCTTACGAGAAGCCAGCATACGAGCAGAGCGATCATTGCACTGACCAGACGATGCTGGCTCATAAACTGGCACCAATGGCCCACCCCGACTGGAGGAACCCCGAACCCTGGCACGACCCTTCCGAGAAGGCTGATAACAGCCACACCGAAGAAGCAACAAGGCCAACATAGGACGACAACTGGACAAAGCCGCCTGCAGAAACTGTGTAACAGCAGTCACCACAAACAGGGAAAAAAAAGACAATGGCTATCAGTCACAGATTAATATATAGAAAAATATACTGTTATCTACATGGGGATCATCAAATAGTTTGCCCAATGCAAAATCTGGCATCTTGTGTGGATAATTCTGAATCCCCAAATTCAGATGTAATGGTTTCGTGAGTGAGTCGGTAAGGGTTCGATAAAGAGTCTGTGCAGTCATAGGGGAGTACACATACACTATTTACAAAACAGAGAAGTTAACTGATACTGCCCAATCATTTCTGGAGGTTGACCCCCTACAATAAACACTTGGCCATTTTCTGCCACAGGCAACTGATCCATAGACCAATAGTCTAAACATCCTATGGTCCACTGCATAGAAATATAAATGGTAAGCATATACAATTTAAATAATTATTGCAAAACCTACAATAAACACTTAAAAACAAATTGTTATTTTATACTAAAAGTTACCAATAAGATGTAGATCTGAGGAGTCATTTTCACAAAGTATTTTTGTTAATTTCATCATCAATAAATTTAAACAGCTAAAAAATGTTTACAAATAATTATCATCTTATAAGCGTATATTATCATGCAGAAACTTCCCTCACAGTTAGTGTGGTATCCATAATCAAATTGATTAAAAAGCAAAGAATTAGCAAACGAAACAATGAATTTGATTAGTAAGCTAACAAACTTGATTAACCACAACATCCCATACAAATATGCTTTCTAGGTAAAAGGATATACTGTAATTTAAAGTTATGCCATAAGCTTTTCATGGGTAGATATATTTTTTAAACTGTTCTATACTGTAAATATATTTATAAGATCCTATAAATATATTTATATCCACCTTATATATAAATATATAAGATCCACTTTTACAACAGTTTATTTTTTTTGTTCAGAGAATGGTTAAACCAATTAGAATAACATGTTCTACCACAGCTAAAAAGGCAAGTGTGATTCAAGATTCCCAAAGTCCAGAAGCCATGAGGAGAACACAGACTAAACAATACCACAATGACGGGGGTGTCGCAGGTCGGGGCAGGAGGGAAGACGGTCGTGGTGGGGGGGAAGGTTGTGACGAGAAGGGGCTGCCAATTAGGTGTCTCAATCACCTGTTAACATCATCATTCACATCTCATTACACATTCATTATTTTTTCTTCATATCAAACTGAGTGTTTGTATTTCATTAGACTGCCCATCAGATACATCCTTCATTGGCTATCCCATATGAGAAGAGCCAAACGAGCGTAATACCCCAAGTATAGTTACAAGATGAGAACTATGCTCGTGGTGTCCAGTCTTCCCTGGACCTTTGTCATATAATACTTTGAAACTTTCAATGGTAATGGCATCCACCACTTTCTCATTAAAATTATTCCAACTGTCCACAACACTGCAAAAGACAACCTTCACACATTTTGAGCACCTTTGTTTTCTCAGCTTGAATCTATTGCCTCGTGTTCTTGAAGTTGCAGGTTTAAAAAATTCTTCCTTCTCAACTTTCACAATTTATGCCACAATGTCCTATGTGATCATTTTGCTTTTCTGGGAGTAGACCCTTGTGGCTCCCTAAAACTACTATCAATGATAGTGTACCAGTACAAGGTTGCATCAGCTGTCGCGTTCTATCGACCTACAGGAGACCAGAGCCAGAACCTGGTCCTCTCACAGAGGTGCATGGAGCAGTGACATTTATTTATGTATGTCACCCCCAGGATAGCAATCAGAAAGTTAATGACACAAAACGGACCACTGCTGGCTTCAGTAGACACTAAACCTCTTTCAGCCTCTAAACTGCTGAAAAAACTCCCCCCCAACTATGTAAACAAACTATGGAATCTCTATAAACTAATGCAAGCGTGGTTTATCCCACCTCCCCTACTAATTTGGGGGTAGGAGGGAGGATGCTCACCATCAGCTGGCTGTTCCATGCTGATGTGTGTAACGTGTGCTGCTGCTTGGGCTCCAGTGTCTTGCTGATTCAGCTACATGGTGGTTTTTGCCCTTATTGGGGTTCCTGTACACTCAATTGTAGTTTGAGCCTGGATGTTAAGTGTGTTTGCAGTTGCATGTATACAGGGTTACCTTTCCTGTGTGCGCTCCCTAGTACAGTACTGCCTTTGCACTGCCAAGTCTCTCTTTCCTGGGGTGTTTGGGGGGTCATTCTTAGAGGTCTTCCTCGCTTGTGGAGGCACTTGCCCAGCGTGAATCGGATGTCTTTAGATTTTCCTGCCTTTACTCGGGTCAGGAGTGACATTGGGTGGCTTATGGCACACTGGGTATTCACATGCTACACTATATCATGCTAAGGTTGGTCTTCACAGCTGTGTGGACAGGGCTGTGTTGGACAGGACAAGGTTTACAACATTTATATATAAACGTCCTACATACCCTATATAGATTCTCATGACATCCTTCAACTAACGCTCTGGTGTAGCATCCCAGTGTCTGGGTGTCCTGTGTGGTCAATTCCTTTGGGCCCTGGATATTTCCTGCAGGTTTGGTGGTCCCATGGATATTCCCCTTGAACCTGCTCTAGCTCATGTGAGTTTGAGGATTGTACGTTGCCCATGCAACGCAGCGATGCTCATTTCTTCTGTCTCTACCATGCTGCCTGCTGAGTCGGTGATACCTTCAACACTGAGTCCTGTGGGGTTTGTTCTTCCTATGTGACTCTCCAACCCCTCCAATGAGGCTAGGTCTTATCAGGCAATGACCACCTTGTGTTCGGTTTTATAGTAGTGGTGTAGGTTGTCCATCAGACCATCCTCACTGATGGTCTGTCCCAGTTCCTTCACATCTCCATGGAATAAACTGTTGATGGTGTCTCCTTCCTGCTGCTTTGAGAGACATTCGGGTGTCCAAACGTGTATCCCTTTGCATTGGCATGGTCTCGACACTTTCCCCCTGTATGCAGTGCCATTTCCCGATTATGAGGCCCTTACTGTTGATGCCTTTCAGCTGGAATGGTTCTTGTACCTCTTCCCCTTGGTCCAGATGTTGCTCCAGGTCCTTGGCAGGTTGGAGTCCTATAGGGGTAGGGGTGATCCTTCTGCCTCCTTGGTGAATGAACCCAGGTGTTTTTACACAGTTCCATCTCTTTCAAAGGGTCAGCCTGGTGACATCTCTCATTTCCAGTTATAGGGTGGGAGAGCTTCATGCTTTCCTCTCGAGGCAGGAGTTTTGTTGGTTTGCAACTGGCTCCTGGTTTTCTGATGAACAAATCAAATGGTTTCGGGAAGGGTCTGTTGAATATTGATGCTTGGTTAGTTCGGCCTAGGGGTGCATCTTGTGCTGTGCCCGGTAGCGGCTCTCCATCGTTACATTCAGGCCATCGCTTCTGCCACGGTGGATGCCTTGTGGGTTGATCTTGTCTCCTTGGGTCCCGTGTTCCCAAGCTCCTATTTCTCGGTTCATCTGCAGTGTTACCAAGTCTAGCCAGCCTGCAGTCTACCCTTGTGTCCATGATGTTAGGAAGTATGCTGCTCTCTCGGCTTTGTTTGCAAATATGTTTTGGGCTGATATTAGGGTGCAGGGGTTTTGGAGGTCAAGCAGGGTTCTGGCAGCTCGGAATCTTGTTAATGTGCCTGGGCCCTAGTGGCCTTGTGTGGCTCTGGGTTCTCTCTCTCATCTGGCTGTGTCTTCTTCATGATTCCTGCAGTGCTCCTTCCTCCCTGGTAAGTGCCCATTTGTTTCCCTTCTCTGTGGGTGGTTAGCTTCAGGGAACTACAAGGGGCTCTTCCCCAGAAAACCAGTATTGAATGTAATGAAATGCCAATTTCTGGGCAAGCCCCTGGTGGCTTCCTGACACCCTCCCTCCCTTTAGGTCGTAGAAAAGTTGGTTACATCTACAATAGAACTGAGGGTGGCGTAGCCAGCTGACTACGAGCTGACTCCCTACCATCCCTCCCCAAACGAGTAGAGAAGATGGAAGCAAAAGAGCTTGCTCTAGCTTGGAGAAATTTTGATCATTTGTTTACATAGTTGGGGAGTTCTTTTGACAGTTTTAGTGGCTGCAGTCTCAAGTGAAGCCAGGAGTGGTCTGTTTTGTCTCCCTGACTTTCTGTTAACTTCCTGGTAGTTACACATACACATAAATGTCAGTGCTCCCTGCACCTGTGTGAGAGAACCAGGTTCTGGTTCTGGTCTCTGGTACACTGACAAAACTCTGATGCAACCTTGTAGTGGTACACTATTAGTTAATAGTAGCATGAGGGAGCCTCTGGGGCTGACCCACAAATTGGCATTTCATTACATTCAATGCTTCTTTTTTCCTTTTCCTACTCCTTGCAGCTCCTGCTTTAAGATTTGGAAGCCATTTATTAGCATGTGTTTGCACCTTTTCTACCTCATTTGTGTGTTTTTTGAGACATGGACACTAACGCAACTGATATCTGTCTGTCTGTCTGTCTGTCTGTCTGTCTGTCTGTCTGTCTGTCTGTCTGTCTGTCTGTCTGTCTGTCTGTCTGTCTGTCTGTGTCTGTGTGTCTGTCTGTCTGTCTGTCTGTCTGTCTGTCTGTCTGTCTGTCTGTCTGTCTGTCTGTCTGTCTGTCTGTCTGTCTGTCTGTCTGTCTGTCTGTCTGTCTGTCTGCCTGCCTGCCTGCCTGCCTGCCTGCCTGCCTGCCTGCCTGCCTGCCTGCCTGCCTGCCTGCCTGCCTGCCTGCCTGCCTGCCTTCCCTCTCTTTCTCTTTCTCTCTTAGTGTATCTACACTATGCAGTAAAATATTAAGAGAATCATTAGGAAGGGAACCCCCTTTAAGAACCCCCATTATACTGATCCTTAGGACAAACAAGAAACAAACTTGTCTACTAACAGGACAATGACATACTGTACTAGTATTACATAATACAGTAGGAAATTTCAGGGTCTTATTTTAAATTTCACTGAATTAAAATCCAATCCATATTCCAACTTCTCAATATAATAAATCATCCCTGGCTAGTTTGAAACCACTTCACACTACTTCAGTCAGATCCATATTCTTAGCAATTAACACATGACTGCCTTGTGTTCACCTCATGTTGGTTCTGAGGATTAGTGTTCCCGCAGTTCGGTCTCTGACCAAGCATCCTGGTTAGTGGTCTGGTCAAACAGGATACTAAATGCAGCTGCTCACAGCTTGATGTACGAGTCACAGCCCGGTTGATTTGGTATTGTTTGGAAGTGTGTATCAACCACTCTCTTTTCAACAACACGAGAAACCTACTAGTTTTGCCCCTTATGTTTAAAAGGAGAGTTGAAAAGTCTTGAGCTGCAAAGTTGATAGGCTTGTCTCCTAGTATACCATTTGCACCTCTGCTTTTCAAAAGGGCAATTTTGCACTTCCTGATATGCCTCCTGGTCTCAAAGAGTAATGTGTGTGTAAATTTGGTATCAGTCCCTCTAATATTTTTTAATGGTAATTATTGTGTAACTCTGTTGCTTGCCCTTTACAGAATGCAGGCATTAAGGATTGTGAAATACTATTAAAAAAAAATTCTAATTTTTTTTAGTAAATTACAAACAAAAATAATGGCCAAAGTACACAGAGTAAAGGACGTGCATGCAAAGTGACGAGAGATTACAGTATGTTTGGAAATATACACAGTGGTGGAAGTGGTACACAAAGTGGGGGGGGGGGGGAAGTGGTACACAAAGTGGGGTGGAAGTGGTACACAAAGTGGGGGGGAAGTGGTGGAAGTGGTACACAAAGTGGGGGGGGAAGTGGTACACAAAGTGGGGGGGGAAGTGGTGGAAGTGGTACACAAAGTGGGGGGGGAAGTGGTGTGGGGTGGAAGTGGTACACAAAGTGGGGGGGAAGTGGTGGAAGTGGTACACAAAGTGGGGGGGGAAGTGGTACACAAAGTGGGGGGGAAGTGGTGGAAGTGGTACACAAAGTGGGGGGGGAAGTGGTGGAAGTGGTACACAAAGTGGGGGGGGGAAGTGGTACACAAAGTGGGGTGGAAGTGGTACACAAAGTGGGGGGGAAGTGGTGGAAGTGGTACACAAAGTGGGGGGGAAGTGGTACACAAAGTGGGGGGGGAAGTGGTGGAAGTGGTACACAAGTGGGGGGGGAAGTGGTGGAAGTGGTACACAAAGTGGGGGGGGAAGTGGTACACAAAGTGGGGGGGGAAGTGGTACACAAAGTGGGGGGGGAAGTGGTACACAAAGTGGGGGGGGGAAGTGGTGGAAGTGGTACACAAAGTGGGGGGGGGAAGTGGTGGAAGTGGTACACAAAGTGGGGTGGAAGTGGTACACAAAGTGGGGTGGAAGTGGTACACAAAGTGGGGGGAAAGTGGTGGAAGTGGTACACAAAGTGGGGGGGAAGTGGTACACAAAGTGGGGGGGGAAGTGGTGGAAGTGGTACACAAAGTGGGGGGGGAAGTGGTGGAAGTGGTACACAAAGTGGGTGGAAGTGGTACACAAAGTGGGGGGGAAGTGGTACACAAAGTGGGGGGGAAGTGGTGGAAGTGGTACACAAAGTGGGGGGGGAAAGTGGTGGACAAATGTCTACATAAATGTGTTTGAAGTGTGCAGAAAGAGTGCTGCAGTGTGTATACAGATCATTAGTATAATGAACACAAAAGAGGACAGGGGAGTCAAAGGAAGATGCCCATATATATTTTATGCTAAATGAAAGACTTATATGCAGATTTGCATATGCTTACATGCACAAATGCATGCAACATATTGTAAATACATGCACCCATCATGCTGCACACACATGCATGCACATACATGCCATCTCAAATACACACAAACACGTGTATTTATATGGAGAATACAGACCCCCATGATCATAACTCTGCTCCTATTACTACAAATGGATAATCTCCAAAACAAAAGACCCGTGTAATTTTGCCAAATTTTAGGATAGCTTTTAAGTATTGTACATGGAAGGAGAAATTTTAAGGAAATGAATAGCACTTATCTGACCTAAACAGGAATAAGGTGTTCAGGTACAGTGCTTGCTGGAGGTGTACCCGTATCAGTTAATAAAATTGTATCAGTACAGGTCAACTTACTGATACTGTGCTGAATTGGCACACCACTTGTGCATGCACCTAACACCATGCAAGAAAAACAAAGTTGCGCCAATAATGGTGTCAACAAAGCCAATTGACTTTTCCATGCAAAAAAACAATCTTTTACTCAAGATTTTCTATACAATCCCTTGGGAACTTGTTCCAATTAACAATAATTTATGAGTTATGGGTTCATAACTATTTTCAGAATAGCATTTCTGGCACATCTACTGACCTGAACTCAAAACTCCATTGAACAATAAAAAAAAGAAGCCCAGAAACAGCAAACTTTTAAAATAAAACCATCTAGAAGAAATGACTTTATCTGTGTTATATAGATATCTGGATATTCAGAAGAACGAAGAACACTGTACACAATCTTCGTCACACACCAGGTCTAGAAAGTGCAACAATGGCATGCAATCAACCTAGTAAAGCACGAAAAAAAGACCAAGAATGTTAATAGGTTTGCAAAAAGGAAGGTGTCTGAATAAAGCTATAAAGAGAGGTTCAAGAAACACAATCAAAAAAACTTTAAAGGAGAGAAGGATCAGAGGAGGACATGATTCCTATATACAAAATACTGAGAGGAATAGACAAGATGAACAGAATCAGCCTTTCCAAATGGAAGATTATAATACAAGAGGACACGAGCAGAAGTTAGAAATAAAAGAAAATACAGCACTCCTATGCACTGTGGATCGTCAACAAGTAGAATGCACTGAAAGAAGTCATGGGTGCCACTCCATCCATGACTTAATGAGTAAATATGACATCAAGGGATTTAAAAGGTGCAGGTTCCAAAGTCTAGAAGACATGGCCCCAACAGCCAGATCTCACTTCCAATTCCAATTACTCTTACTCTCTTGGTCAACTGTTGTGCATTTGTGAAAAATGTTGCAGATACTGTAATACAAAAAAATATACCATGCTATAACACATTTTTAAAATTTAGCAATTTTTATTATTTTGTTTAATGTAGATTTTTCAGTGCTCCACTGTGTTCCTTTACTAACAAAGTGGGCAATGGAACAAGCTCCAGAAGAAGGTTATCTGTGCAAAACCACATCGTTTCCCAAATATTTACAATTAAACATGTCATGGTATACCATGAACATAGCTCTCTTCTTGTACCTATAACAAATTAATTAATAACAGGTAAGCTCATGCACACACATTTTGATTTCTTTAGATAATTTTCTTCAGATACTTTAATATATACTAAACATATCTAACCAACAGAGCAACTTAAAAGTAAGATACTTTCAACATCTATATTACTGAACCTATGTAAAGTAAACTGTAAGTGAGACATTGATATATATTACAGTATACCAGGGGTGGGGGAACCTTTCATCACATGAAAACTACATTTTATTTAGGTAAGATTTCATAAGACCTCACATTGCGTTATGCGCTGTATACATTCAAACATGTCACAAACTTACAGATCAAGTTTCATTAATTAAAATTGCTTCCGAAGGCCGCACAGTGTACCAAAAAGATTCACATGCAACCTTTAGGCCACAAGTTCCCCACCCCTGCAGTATACAAACCAAACAAATAAATCAAGAATTTAGCTTTCCAAAACTAAGATTTTCTTTTGCTAGGCCTAAACATTTAATTTTTAATATTAATTTTTTTTTAATTTTAGTAAAATATTTACAGAATTGAAAGCTTTAAATGGCATACAACATGCAAGTCAAACAATGTACTTGTTTTCCAAGACAATAAGTGGCACAAATTTAAAGCCCAACATCCTTTTCAACTAATTAATATCCAGCATTATACACATTGGGGCGCCGGTGGCTGTGTGGATAGCATGCTGGACACGTAATCCTGTGGCCCGGGTTCGATTCCCAGCGCCGGTGAGAAACAATGGGCAGAGTTTCTTTCACCCCGATGCCCCTGTTACATAGCAATAAATAGGTACCTGGGAGTTAGACAGCTGTTACGGGCTGCTTCCTGGATATATGTAGTAGAATAGTAGTTAGAAATAGTTGATTGATTGACAGTTGAGAGGCAGGCGGAAAGAGCAGAGCTCAACCCCCGCAAGGTATATACATTAACTACAATATTACTTAACCACATCTTTCATGCACAGGAAATGCTTACCTCTTCCTTCTTCCTCTCAATTTCTTCATTTTTCCCATCCAGGAGGGATCGCAACTCCTTCACCAAATCTTTCCACTTATATGCCTCAGACTTCTCAGATTTCAGACTGTCACGCATTCGTGATAGCTCATTCGTTAGATGTTCCAGCTGAAATTGTTTCATAATATTACCCAACTTACTTGTCTAGATTCTTAAAACCACAGTTGAGGACTCAAAGTTAGAGCTTAACAAGAGCCAGAATTATTGCTAAATATTTTGCTAACATATAAAACAATTTAAAGATAATAAACATTATATTGAGACTTGTCAAGCTTACCCCAGCTAATGTACTTAACACTAACCTTAGAAGCGAGCTCCTGATTTTCTTGAAGCAGGCCTGTGATCTCAAGAGAGGCAGACGTCTTCCTTTGAGGGTTCATGTTCGATCTCTCGGCTTCTAGCTCTGAAACAAGCCCATGAATCCGTTTTTCTGCCTCCTGCAGTGATCTGAAATTATAGATATCCATAAATTCTCTCTGATGACAAAGAAGACAACTTTGAACAAATTATATGGATTTAATAGTAAATAATGAATGACTTTAAACACTGACTACTGTACTTTTAAGGCAGCTAGAAGGCATTTTGTTTGTAACAGATGCCTAACTTACTGATATATACATCAATCTGACACCTGAAAAATCATCCAAACAGCAGACTTTGTTTAAAAATACTCATCAGCAATACCAGATCAGAAAAACTCTTACTTTTCGCTTCTTCCAATTTAGATATCCTTACCTGTTAAGCCTTCGGATAATACTGTCATGTCGACTATTCTGACTGGCTGTGAGTTCCACAAACTTCTTTTCCTCCGCACTCACTTTTTCTTCCCATTCCTCCCTCTCTTTCAAATACCTTGTTTTGGTAAGTGCAGAAGGTGGAGGTGCACAAGGTAGTAGGTCAGGTGGTGGTGGAAGAGGTGATGATGCAGGTGGTGGTGGTGCAGGATAAAGGTGGATGCAGAAGGAATTACGTTAGTCATTCATGGCATGCAAACAAGGACATTCATGTACTTAATATACTGTACTACACATCTATCTACAACCCATTCATTATTCCCTCAGAATCAGAGATGCTTTATAAACTGTACAATAATCAGTCAGGTCACTAAAGAAGGAATATTAGTACTGGTCCTGAGGAGAACAAAGTGCTCCTCAATCTTCCAGGAAAAACTCAGCTTTTCATTCAAACTAAATGTTTCTAATGGACAATTAGTTTGGTCACAAAATAATGAATATTATGTATGATCACTGAATAATGGACAATTAGTTAGGTCACAAAAAACCAGCGTTGAATGTAATGAAACCCCGTTTTCTGGGCGAGTCCTGGAGGCTCCCCGGAGCTATCCAGGCTGATATGGATATATTAAACTTTGGCATCAGTCATGTTAATGGAGGTTAATGGAGTTCTTAGGCCTACTGGGGACCACAATCCAGAACCTGGCCCTCACAGAAAGGCACAAGGAGTAATAGCTTATAAAAAACCCCGTATGGTTGGAAGCATTTTATGTCTGCCATCAACCGGGTCTGGCACCCAGAAAGGTAAGTACTCCAAAACAAACCCCTATTCTGGTTAAGAAATTACTACTGAAAGATGAATTAGTGGACAGAACTCAACAAAAGAAAACGAGCAAACAAGCAAAATGTCACCATGTCTACACGCTGCTGTCTGCGCAGCTCCCCACTTCCAGGGAGGGGAAAGGGGGAACCCCAGACCTCCCGCCAGCTATCCACCCATCAGTTATAAGACTGGATGTCAAAATATGCGAAAAACCACCGACCGGAGGGAGGGTGGGATGGCGGGAAGCCTCCGGGTCTCACCCAGAAAATGGCGTTTCATTACATTCAATGCTGCTTTTTTGGGGGAGCCCCGCCGGCTCCCCGGAGTGACTTACCCATAGAAATAAGAGGGATTTATCCAGGAGGCGCTTGGCCCTCGCTCCTTAACACCAGGTCGAGACAACTGGCTGCAACCGCCGACCCAATGCAACACAGGACCGACTAGGCCCAGGAACATTGACAAGGTAGTGAGCTGCTAAGACCCTGTTCGACCTCCAAAAATCCCATGCCCGAATGACAGCCCAAGACATGTTACCAAAGACGGCAGCAAGCGCAGCAATTTACGAACGTCGTGGGTATTGGGGATAGACTGCAGTCTGGCTGGACCTAATAACCCTGCGGACGACCTGGGAGACCTGAACCCTGGAACAGGGAAGAAGGGAAACCGGATCAACCCAACGTGTCCCCAGACACAGAAGCTGTGGCATGCAAATAACGGCAGAACGCCACAACGGGACACAACACATGATGCACCCCCAGCCGAACCAACCAAGCATCAACAACCCAAGGACCCCTCCGGAAAGAACAAGTTTCATTCTTCGCCAGAAAAGAAAGAGACAACTGCAATCAAACAAACTTACCACCAGGACCAAACGAGCAGAAACCCCTGCGCTGCAGGAGAGCATCAAGCTCCCCAACCCGACCCCAAGAGGCCACTGCCAACAGGAAAAGAGCATTAGAGAAACAATCCTGAACCAATGGGGCCACTATAAACCGAGGGAGAGAGAGAAAAGAGAGCACCCGATCCAAAGATCAGGACAGCTCCGGTGGCGCATGAGCAGGCCAGAGATGAAACAACAACCGAGACAGCTTGTGAAATGGCACTGAAGTAACATCAACCCTCAAAAGCAAGCTGCAGTGGCTCCACCAGCGCCACACGATAAGAGGCAACAGTATTCGGCATAAGATGACAGTCCTGAAACAACCACGAGAGAAAGGACAACACCACTGCATCAGAAACCAAAGTAAACCTACAAAGGGACAAGAAAAAGTGGAAGGACCGCCAAGAAACTTCATACTGCCGCCAAGAGGAAGCACGCAGGTGGGACACCATCAAAGAAGCCACCTGATCACCATATAAATGGTGACAGACTCGAGTCAAAAAGACCAGACACGAAGACTCGAGGAGAAGATCAAACCAGCCATGTAATGGACCAGGCCGATCTCCTGAAAGAGGAGCTGTGGAAAAACCTCCGGTTTCAAACTCCGAGCAAGCAGCGCCTGAAACCAAGGCTGGGCCAGCCAACAGGCCAAGAGGACTACTCATCTCTGGTAAGTCTTCAAGCAAGCCAGGACCTGGAGTAACAGTCTAACTGGGGGAAAGAGGTAAAGGTAACTCCACCTCGAACAGTCTTGCCGAAAGGCATCAACCCTGTTGGCCTCGCAGTCGGGAAAGGGCACCACATAATACGGGAGATGCCTCGACCACACTGACGCGAAGAGGTCCACCTCCAGGAGCCCGTACGTCCGGCAGAGCCAACTGAATGAGTCGGCATCTACCGTCTATTCCGTGGACAGGGGAATGAACCGAGATGGGTCGTCCACCAGGGCGTTGGACACCCTCCGAACGTGAATGGCCAGGAGAGCCAAACCCCGAGAGCTCAGCAGACGAGTCACCTTAAGCGACCAGCCCCAAAGAGCCAAGGACCACATTGAACCCCCCTCGGTTCAGGCAATGAACTATCAGGGAGCAGTCTGAATGGAGCCTGATTGTCGATCCGCGAGCAACCCAAACCCTCCAGAGAATTCACACCACCGCGAATTCCTGCAGCGTGCTGTGGGCTCAACGGAAAGACAAACCCCACCACCCCTGGCCAGCCTGGTGAGCAATGGTCACAAAGCCATAGCCAAGAGACGACAAGTCCACGAACACATCGAGCGAGGGGCTCGGGTAGGCGCCAAGCACTGAACTCCAAAAAACCCGAAGACGAAGCCAGTGACGCAGCAGCTGACTCAAGGTCCCCCAGAGGCCAAACCCAGCAATCGCAAGAGAGGTGGATGGGACGTCCACGAAGGAATCTTAACAGCTGACAAAGCCTAACCCGCCCCTGCAGGTAGACCATCACTGCAAAGTTCAGGCTACAGCAAAAACCCTCAAGCAACCTCTAAGTGACCCAGGAGCCTTCCAGAAACAAGCAAAGGTGGGAGCACAGCCAAAGCAGAGACTCCTGAGGGAGAGCCAAGAAAGCGGTCCTAACCACTGGTTAGACCCCGTCGCCACAGTTGGAGAAACCGAATCGAATGCCTCCGTCACCCCCCCCCCCCCTCCCGGAAGGGGCAACCCCCGAAACTGCCTGAGTCTCAGAACCATGTAAACCCTGCCCTAACCCCAAAGCCCTCAGATGCTTTGGAGTTGGAAGCAGGAGGATAGGGGGGAGGGGGGCAGAATGAACCAAAGCAGGGAAAGAACGAGTGGGTGCAGACTGAATCAAGGCCGAAGCGACCAACACCACCAAGTTTGGGTCCCTATAAACAAAATGGAGCAGCCTCGGGGCTTCCGGGGTAGCAATCACCTGAGCGCGTTGCAGCAACCTAAATCTAGAATGCAACGCCTGAGCCACCTGCTCCCGGATACTCATCAGTGGACTAGGTGAACTGAGTCACAAACAATCAGCAAAACTCGTAGGACTCTGGGTCAAAGGTGTCACTGACCCAACAGGCAGCATGACAGAGGCAAAAATCGTGAAAGTCACCCTGAGACAAAGGGACAGAGCAGCCCTCAAACTCACTCAAGGCGAGAGGACACCCAGGACCATTGGACCCCTTGCGCCCCCATGGGGTTTCCAGGATCCTTGAACTGATATCGCTAAGGGTAAGCCCAGACAGGGTACTGTGAACTGGTGCCCAAGTCTACCAATCAAACTGCTAAAAGCTAAACCCCGGGTCATGTCCACTCATGGGGCCCTAGCAGGGGGTACCACCCAGAAACATATATATAAACCTAAGTTATAGGTAGGGGGCAACAAACCAAAGGCAGACATCCCTCTACCAGGCAGGAAAACAAAAACAAAACAGAAAAAATCCGCAAGAGGACAACATACCCAGGCAAAACAGAGCCAACCGCTATAATAGGTGAAAACTAACTGTGTAGAACACCGTGCCCCTACCAGTGCAAACTACCCTTTATCCTAAGGTAAACAAGGGAGGAGGAAACCCCCCCCAGCACACTCAGGGCGGTCAATTACCAAGCAGCAAAAGACCAACAGAGGTAGACCCCAAGGTGCCCTGTGGAAGATAACCCCAAGCACCAAGGGCGGTACTTACAGGGCACTTGGGGAAGGGAACAGCACAGCACAGCACTGAGAACAAGCAGCAGGTGCTGGAGTCACATGACCAAGCTTCAAACACATTAGCCAAGAAATGGGGGTGTGGGTAGCCGGTGTGAGAGGTCTGGGGCTCCCACTTTCCCCTACCATGGAGGGGAAAGCTGCGCAGGCGGCGGCACACACGTGGTGATGTCACGCTCATTTGCTGCTTTTTCTTTGGGGAGTTCTGTCCACTCGTTTGACTTTTAGTAGAAGTTTTAACCAGAATAGGGGTTTGTTTTGGGATGCTTACCTTTCTGGGTACCTGACCCAGTCAATGGCAGACATAGAATGCTCCAAATCACATGTGCATTTCTATAGGCCATTGCTCCTCGTGTCTCTGAGGGGGGCCAGGTTTTGGCTCGTGGTCCTCGTTAGGCCTAAGAACTCCATTCACACTGACTGATGCCAAAGTCTGATATATCCATATCAGCCTGGATAAGCTTCAGTGAGCAAAAGGGGCTCTCCCCCAGAAATTTAAACATACAGCGGGACCTCGGTTTTCGAATGCTCCAGTTTTCAAATTTATTGGTTCTCGAGCTCAATTTCTTCAAAAAATTTGACTCGGTACTCAACGTTTGCCTTGGTGCTCAAGTTTGTTGATACACCTATAGGCCAACCGAGATTGTAGTGTACAGTACTTCAGTTTACCAGTGTCTCCCGCCAAGTGACGACCGTGCTTGAAGTCTTTGTAAAGAATTTCATTGCTTTTGTGCTTTTCTGTATTATAAACATAAAAGTTCTTATTATATATCATGCCAATTGTTACAAGAAAGTCAGTGGTAAAGTTCAACCTAAGAAAATAGTTGTGAGGATGACGAGAGAGGAAAAACAAGAGGTCATTCATAGCGAGACAATGTGACGTCTCACTACAGACAAGTCTTAAAATGTAGGAAAAAAACAAGTGTCTATAGACAGAACCAGATTCTAGAGGTATGCCTGCAAAATGTAAGAGAGAGTACCCCAGAAATGTCATCACTGCTGTTATAATGGAAGGGGACTTCCCTTCCAAACACTAACACCTCTCTCCTCCCCCCTTCCTCACTGTCTTCTATATGCCAATTAGAGTCCTCAATAAAGATAAGATATACTTGTACATACTGTAGTAAAAAATGTAAGTACAGTAGTATGTATAAAATGTATTTTTAAGTTAATGCCAGTATTTATAGTTAATATTTATAATAATTTATGGGGTGTGGAACGGATTAATTCCATTTACAGTACATTATTTCTTAGAGGAAAATTCATTTCAGTTTTCAAACCGTCTCTGAGAACAGATTAAATTAAACAACGGAGGTACCACTGCATTTGTTCAGCTTATTCAACTTGCTTGTAATACATACTAGCTACCACTTCCATTTTAACAGAGGTATTACACACCTGTTTTCCCCTCAAGTTTAATCTTGAGTTATATAACACTACCACAACACTGGAAATCAGAAGAGTTAGGGGAGACATGATTACTGCCTATAAAATTCTTCATACATACATGATTTGACAAAAAATAATTTAACATAACTTTTTAAAACTTGCTCAAACACTTTCCAATTTTTTTTTTGCATAATCAACTAGGCAAATGCTCCAACTTTGTTTAAATGATCACAGTGTAACTTGAAAATCAAGAGAATCAAAATTAATTTTAAAATTGAATATTGAGAACCTCAGATTTTCAATTCAGAATAAAAAATATGAACTATCATTAATTGTTTATTTAATGTTTCTGTTCTCTCAGAATAGCCTATGATCTTCATTTTCATCAAATTAGAATATAGGTTTTCAGCATAGTTTACTGTAAAAATAATCGTCAATAGGGCATTTGAAATATGCGGCAAATTTAGACCAAAAAAAATTATAATTCCAAATTTATAAAGTTTATGAAAAATCCATTCTGATGGGATTGTAGAACAAACAGCTGAGCACACAATATGTCAAAATAGTGAGAATCGGTTAATAACTGGAATTTTAGATGCCACTCTTAGTTGAAATTCTGGTTTCAGAGATAATTGAAGTTGAAGTTATCAACAATGAATAAAGGTAGTTTTAATTCATTAATTTAATTGTATGTTTTAATAAGCATTGTTTGACATTTGTACTCAATAAGTTGTAGGTCAATAGGTGTTGAAATGAAGTCAAGAAAAAATAACCCCCCCAAAAAAACACAAAATATTTTGGGTTAATTATAATGATTTAGGGGATATATTTAGAGTATACCTTAAGTGAAAAAGACCCAGTATGGTCCCTAATCATCAAAACAACCTAAAGAGACAAAGAAAATAGAGTTTGAAATCAGATAAAAAATCAGCCCAAAAAAATTAAAAGTACCAAGTTTTGCGAGTTGTGACTGATTAATTGTAAACCAATTTCATTCTATCTTCACATAAGTTTGGAAACATATGTATTCTCCAGGATGTAAAGGTTACAACAAAATCAGATAATAAACAAAGGAGAAATCTTAAAAAAAAAAAATAATAATAATAATAATATTTTTGGGACATTGATGAAAGTAACATATATTAACATTGGACAATGTATTTATATGATATATAACAAAATAGATCATATTAGCATAATTATTCATTATTATTTGTGTTATTATGTATTACTCAGCAATGATATAAAGGCACCAACTGCATATCCACTTTGTGGACACTTCTTACTACGTTCTTCTTCTTTGAGCTTTGGACAGGTGCCTGCATCTTTTTATTACTGCATAATCCTTCAGTTCCAGTTATTAGGAGCTGTTCTCCTTATCAATAAAACGTTCTTATTTTTCAAAAATTCGTCTAAAATCAATTTCTGACAATATTTTGATGAAAGTTTCACGACACTGAAGCCAATAATTTGGAGATTTGTTTAACATTTTTAAGTTGTTTTTACATAATTTGAATACTTTTTGCTATTATGTCCCCTATATTCGCTGTAATATGCGCAGTCTAAGGGTTAAGTGTATATATTTCAAAATTTATATAAAATACAAATTATTGTACAAAATACAAAAATATTGTATAAATGCTATCAAAAACAGGTGACAGACAGACTGCCTTACTTCTTCTCCAGAAGTTGGAAGTTTTGTTTCCAGTTAACACTACCAGACTGGGTTGACAGGTGCTCCAGGAGTTCATTGTACCTACACATGAACATGCACACATTAACTAGTTATAAACACACAATGCATCGCAAAACAAACCACAGCCGAGTGAACTACTAAGGTCAACGACAAGTTGTTATATTAGTAACAGACACTCATTATTATAAGGGATTTACAGTGCAGTTATATGGACTACTTCAATCAGTTGGCAAGCCAAATTTAGGAAGTTATGAAAGAAATACTACAAGTAACTTCACAAATTTACCACCACAGCAGAGAAGACATTATGTGCATATGTAACCTCACAAATATATCACCAGAATTTTTTATCACCAAAATACATCAATGTAACACACGTCTTGACCAATATATCACCACACATAAAAGTACATATAAATATACAACTATTTACTTCCAGGCTAAACAATAGTTCACTTGTCACTTCTTAAGAGCACACTGAGCAGCTTTCCAAGACAAAAGTCGAGGAGGAACAGACCTAGAGAGCCTTGTCAAATGGTGCATAATGCAAGCGAGGCAACTGGCCTGCAGTGGGCCGCATTCTTCCCACGCCTAATTAAGATCCTCTAAGGTGGTAAGCCCCAGTGGCAGAGAAGACAGACTGAGCCTTATGGTGCTCCCCAGATGGCAGCTGCAGCCATAACCACCGGTATGAAGATTTATGAGACTGGGAGTGGGTGTGCACATGTGTACTGGACTGGCAACACACCACTATATTACTGCTTCAGTTACGTTTTTCTCCAGTCATTCAGTTAACCATACACTCCATCAGTCATTGAGATTTTGTATCAAATGGAAAAAAAAATGATGTGAAATGAAAAATAACTAGCTGATTATATAATTATAGTAATAAGAGAACATTATTACACTTCATTCCTCATAATGACTCAACAAGAAATATATTAATTAATCCAATACTAGTAATAAATTATATATATATATATATATATATATATATATATATATATATATATATATATATATATATATATGTCGTACCTAGTAGCCAGAACTCACTTATCAGCCTACTATTCAAGGCCCGATTTGCCTAATAAGCCAAGTTTTCCTGAATTAATATATTTACTATAATTTTTTCTATGAAATGATAAAGCAACCTTTTTCTATGTATGAGGTCAATTTTTTTTTTTTGGAGTTAAAATTAACGTAGATATATGACCGAACCTAACCAACCCTACCTAACCTAACCTAACCTATATTTATAGGTAAGGTTAGGTTAGGTAGCCAAAAAAAACTAGGTTAGGTTAGGTTAGGTAGGTTAGGTAGACGAAAAAACATTAATTCATGAAAACTTGGCTTATTAGGCAAATCGGGCCTTGAATAGTAGGCTGAGAAGTGCGTTCTGGCTACTAGGTACGACATATATATATATATATATATATATATATTTATTTATTTATTTATTTATTTATTTATTTATTTATTTATATTTTAAAGTGTGAACTCTTGCACATTATTGGTAACTAGAAACAATCAAAATATTGATTACAAAATATTGATGTGAATGATAAAACAGAATATAGAAAGAATTGTAGAATAGATCATTGTCAAATTACACAACACCCCCCAGATGGTCTCCTCAACATCAAACATCCACACACAACACTCAGATGGTCTCAACATCATCAAACATCTACACACAACACCCCCCAGATGTTCTAAACATCTACACCCCCCCCCCCAAGATAGTCTCATTATCATCAAAGATCTACACACAACACCCCCAGATGGTCTCAACATTATCAAACCACTATACAAAAAGTTAAATAGGCAATTACACTAAGGTGTGATTACACAACATGTCAACACCATCAAACATCAAGACAAGATGTCCACATCATCAAACATCTACAAAACCCTTCAAATGACATCAACACACTGAATGAAACAACACAAAGAGAGAGAGAGAGATTGGAACAACTCACTTCTTCCTCATCTCGTTGAGTTCGTTGGCACAGGATGCCTTCTCCGAGAGGTCGTGCTCTTGCTCCTCTACACGGTCAAGCAGTTCCTTGATCTACAGTGGAGACAAAGACAAAATTGAGTAGTACAAAATGATATAGATCAATTAAACTTTATAAAAAAAAAAGATCAGGAAAACATTTAATGCAAAAAAGTATAAATGAGAATTTAATGCAGCATGAAGTCGATGGCAAAATGTGTCATGAGAAGGAAGAGAAAGAATGCCAATGTTGGCCAAATAGAAATTCCTAAGGATAATTATAATTTGAAGGTATTGAGAGAGAGGGGGGGGCTAGGCTGGCTGAGAGGGTGGCTGGGAGGGTGGCTGGGAGGGTAGCTGGGATAGGAGCTGATAGGGAAAAAGTTGAGATTCAGGGGCAATCTTTCAGTAGGGAAGAGGGCGAGGGGGGGAGTTTAGTGGAAAAGAGAAAATTAATTTAAGATTTTCATATGGAGTGAAATTAATATTTTGCTTAAAAAAAACTTTGCTATAGAGCGTGGGAAAAAGTAAAATTCGATGGTTGATCTTTATTTGGAATTTGGCGCAGTTTTGTTCAGGTAGTGCTGAATTGTAACCTCCACCTTGAGTGTATATTATGTTAAGAGATCTACCTTGAGGTGCCTTCCGGGGCTTAGTGTCCCCGCGGCCCGGTCGTCGACCAGGCCTCCTGGTTGCTGGACTGATCAACCAGGCTGTTAGACGCGGCTGCTCGCAGCCTGACGTATGAGTCACAGCCTGGTTGATCAGGTATCCTTTGGAGGTGCTTATCCAGTTCTCTCTTGAACACTGTGAGGGGTTTGCCAGTTATGCCCCTTATGTGTAGTGGAAGCGTGTTGAACAGTCTCGGGCCTCTGATGTTGATAGAGTTCTCTCTCAGAGTACCTGTTGCACCTCTGCTTTTCAACGGGGGTATTCTGCACATCCTGCCATGTCTTCTGGTCTCATGTGGTGTTATTTCTGTGTGCAGGTTTGGGACCAGCCCCTCAATTATTTTCCACGTGTAAATTATTATGTATCTCTCCCGCCTGCGCTCAAGGGAGTACAGATTTAGGCTCTTTAGTCGGTCCCAGTAATTTAGATGTTTTACTGAGTGGATTCTAGCAGTAAAGGATCTCTGCACGCTCTCTAGGTCAGCAATTTCTCCAGCTTTGAAAGGGGCTGTCATTGTGCAGCAGTACTCCACTCTAGAGAGCACAAGCGTTTTGAAAAGTATCATCATCGGTATAGCATCTCTAGTGTGAAAAGTTCTTGTTATCCAACCTGTCATTTTTCTTGCAGTTGTGACGGCTACTTTATTGTGTTCTTTAAAGGTAAGGTCTTCCGACATGAGTACACCCAGGTCCTTTACATTGCCTTTTCGTTCTATGTTATGACTTGCCTGCGTTTTGTACGTGGTTTCTGTTTTTATATTTTCAATTTTTCCGTAGCGCATGAGCTGAAACTTATCCTCGTTGAATACCATATTATTTTCTGTAGCCCATAGAAAGACCTGATCTACATCTGATTGGAGGTTTGCCGTGTCCTCTATGTTGCCAACTCTCATGAAAATCCTAGTGTCATCTGCAAAGGATGATACAGTGCTATAGGTTGTGTTCTGGTCTATGTCCGATATGAGGATGAGAAAAAGTACTGGAGCAAGCACAGTACCCTGGGGGACTGAGCTCTTCACTGTTGATGGGCTGGATTTTATTTTGTTGACTATTACACATTGGGTTCTGTCAGTCAGGAAATTGTAGATCCATCTGCCTATTTTCCCGGTAATTCCTTTTGAACGCATTTTATGTGCAATAACACCATGGTCACATTTATCAAAAGCTTTTGCGAAATCTGTGTAAATTACATCAGCGTTTTGTTTGTCTTCCATAGCATCTAATGCCATATCATAGTGGTCCAGCAACTGCGACAGGCAAGAGCGCCCTGTTCTGAAACCATGTTGTCCGGGTTATGGAGATGCTGTGATTCCATGTATTTTGTGATCTTACTTCTTAGCACTCTCTCAAAAATTTTTATGATGTGCGATGTTAGTGCTATCGGTCTGTAATTTTTTGCCTCTGCCTTATTTCCTCCTTTATGGAGTGGTGCTATCTCTGCTGTTTTTAGTATGTCAGGGATAACGCCAGTATCTAGGCTTTGTCTCCACAGAATGTGAAGGGCCTGCGATAGTGGTTTTTTACAGTTCTTGATGAATATGGAGTTCCAAGAATCCGGGCCTGGTGCAGAGTGCATAGGCATACTGTTTATGGCTTCTTCAAAATCTAGTGGGGATAGGGCGACGTCTGATATATGATTTGATGTTGGTATCATATCCATGAAAAATTCATTTGGGTTATCAATCTTTAGTGCATTTAATGGCTCACTGAAAACAGAGTCGTACTGCTTCCTCAGTAACTCGCTCATTTCTTTGTTGTCATCTGTGAAAGTTCCATCTCCCTTTCGCAGGGGCCCGATACTAGATGTGGTTTTTGATCTTGATTTTGCATAGGAGAAAAAATATTTCGGATTTCTCTCTATTTCACTGATGGCCTTTTGCTCTCTTTGCCTCTCCTGGGTTTTGTATGATTCTTGTAGCTTGAGTTCAATTGTTTCTATTTCTCTACCTAACCTTCTTCGCCGTTCTTGAGATAGGGTGCGACTCTCAAGTTGTTCCGCGATTCGTTTTCTTCGCCTATATAGGGAACGACGTTCCCGTTCCAATCTGCATCTCTTTCTCTTTTTTCTTAGGGGTATGCGGTTTGAACATATCTCTAGTGCTACTGAGCTTATTTTTTCCAGGCACTGGTTCAGGTTTGCATTTCCTAGCTGTTCTTCCCAGTTTATTTCTGTGAAGTCCTGGTTTATTTGCTCCCAGTTTATCCGTTTATTATTGAAGTTGAATTTGCTGAAATCTCCTCCACCGGGAATCTGGACTGGTTTTGAAGGTCCATTCCCCATGGTTGTCAGAACTTCAATTAAGTTGTGATCTGAGTAACAGGTATTTGTAATCATTATGTTCCCGATCAACTCATCATTATTAGTGAAAATGAGGTCCAGCGTGTTCTCCTTCCTAGTTGGTTCTACTATTTGCTGGTTTAAGGCAAACCTATCGCACATCCGTAGCAGGTCATTTGCATGTGCCTGCTCATTTAGGCTACTTCCTGGTATTCTTTCTGATATTACTGTATTAGCCAGGTGCTTCCATTTCAGGTGCCGTAGGTTGAAGTCCCCAAGCAGGATGATGTTCGGAGCTGGATTTGTGAGGTTTTCCAAGCAGTGCTCTATTTTCATTAGTTGGTCTTTAAACTGCTGAGGGTTTGCCTCCGGTGACTTATATACAAGGACAACAACTACATTTAGGATCTCTATTTTGACTATCAGCACTTCCACCATATCTACCACACAAGTTCAGACTAAATAGGTTGTGATCGCACAGATTTGGGACTGGTGTTTGCGTTATAATGTATACTTTTGTTTGTAATGTACTGTGCTTATTTTATCTTTTACTTTTGTAACCTTTGTCTTATACTTAGATTTTAATGATTTATCACTAATAATATGTGGTAATAGGTGTGAATTTACAGAATTGTAGGCCTTTTATGTATGAATGTAATTATAAATGCATTAACTCCTGAAAAAAAAAACTTGAGTGCTGTATATATAAAAAAAGTGCATGCAAGCAGTTACTTGCTTGTCCCACAAAGTATGGGTCTGCCATCCAGATGGGAGCAAATTCCTGTAGTCAAGCAGGGTGACCTCAATTTACTAATTCCATAGGAAACTTTTGAAAAGTCTTCTCTGGTTAACCTGATACTAGGAAGCACTGGAGGATATCATCCAGGTAAAGTGAGCCGTCAGCTGAAATCCTACTCATTCATAAAGCCATGGTTCATCGGTTACCTGTCCTTCCCACCACCAGATGGTAGCACTGAATTACAATACATTTCAACTCATCAACCCTCCTCAGAAACTGTTTCAAAAGATGAACAAGCATAAAAATTCTTGAATCTCCTCCTCTGCCTCCTCTCCTAGACACACACACTACTATCCTTAAATGTTCGGATTGATGAGGTAGACCTTGTTATGATTCGGCTCCTGCTCTTCGGTGAAGGAAGAGACACTCAGCTGATAAGGCAACCAATAGTCTACCAGGACACTCCATATAGGGAAGGGCAGTATTGCCAGGGAGTTTGTAATATATTTGTAGCTATTAAATGGTTCAACTAATAAAAAGTCCTACATTGTGGAGTTCATAAAACAAAATAATTTACAAAACTATCATATTAACCCGCTTATCCAGAGCCCAATGATCCAAATATTTGGGTTATCTGGTGAAAATCGTGCTGGATATTTTTCTGACAAAACTTTGCCATATTCTGATAGAAATTCGGAAAACCGGAAGTTTGGCCGGTTAGTGCAGTCTGGTATAGGTTCTAAATCAAATCCAGATAACTTTCCGACGCACTTCACCATATCCATACAGAAATGGGGAAAACCGGAGATTTTGCCGAATACCTGTACTGCAGACAGGCATCAGGCCATATTGTATTAATCCCATAGAGCAGTGGCTTGAGGCGGGGGGTATGGGCAGTGTTGGAGTGGGTTGTTCCAGGGTTGGGGGTGTCGAGGGAGTCGGGAGGGTCTGTTTGGAGGGGGCATGATCTGCTATGATCCGTTTTGTATAGAATAACCAAGAATTATGTTAAAACAATTCATTACAGTAAGAACTAAATAAATATTATCCAATATTGTAACAAATACAAGTTTCTTAAATACTCTGTACAGGATGAAGACTATTTTCCTGCTAAAATTTGGGGATCTTTTCCACCTGGCAGTCTACATAACATGCCTGCCTGCCTGCCCCAAGTTGACCTGTCCAAGCCTAGTTAAGCTAAACAGGCAAGGTGCTCTTGACTCATGTTATACCACAGTGCTGGGTCATTACTGAAACATTTTTTTAAATGCCCGGTAACTTTCTTTGTTTTCATAGTAACTTTGGTAATTTTTTGCCAAGAATATGTCTGGTAGCAGCAGCAATCATCCTGAAGGTTAAGAGGAAGTAGGTTGTGTTAACACCACAGCCAACCAAATACAGTTCACTCATGTCTTCTATTGACATGTTATTTAAGTATTCATCCAACTGTGCTTATCTAGAAGTTGGACTCGTGTATCAGTACTTGAGATGAACCAAAAAGCTGATTATAAGAGAGGCCAATGAACACAGGAGGCAAACAAAATTCAATTCTTATTTAGCAAAAACAGCAAGCCAAGAACCTTCTTTGGTCCTTGGCCTCAGAGAGAGGGGGGGGGGGAAGAAAGAGCTCCATGCTCTTCTCCAGGACTTCATGCTCTCTTCTGTTCATTAGATCCTGGAGATCGTTTTGTTCATTTGCAGCCTTCTCTTTCTTTTCTGGCAAAGAAAGAATGAGATAGCCGGCTTCCAGAAGGGTCCGTTGGTTGCTGCTTGGTTGGCTAGGCTGGGGGGGGGGGGATTATGTGGCTAAGTCCGGTGGTGGCTTTATGTCGCTACCTGAAGCGACATAAACCCACATATGCCTAGCACGGACAAAGTACATTCACCAAGGAACAAACTCTCAGCATGCTGTTAGACCACCAAAACCCCTGAACCAAAATATCCACCCAGGTCATAAAAAAAAAAAGTGGACAGAGCCACAAACAAACATCATGGGCCCAAGGGTAGACTACAGGCTTGCTAAATTTGATGAGATTACAGACAACCTTAGACAGACAACCTGCAGATAACTTGCTCCATGGCCCTGGAACAAGAAACTTGGGACACCAGAGGTACAGAGCATCCTCCCCAATATACACACAAGTTCCATACAGGTTTCTGTCACACATGTGACAGAGTTCCACATAAGAGGTTGTTCTGGAAACTGGAACATATTGGAGGGGTGACAGGTAAGCTTCTAGCATGAATGAAAAATTTCTTAACTGATAGAAAAATGAGGGCTGTAATCAGAGGCAATGAATAGGATTGGAGGAATGTCACAAGTGGAGTACCACAGGGTTCAGTTCTTGCACCGGTAATGTTCATTGTCTACATAAATGATCTACCAGATGGAATAAAGAAATATATGAACATGTTTGCTGATGATGCTAAGATAATAGAGAAGATAAGAAACCTAGAAGATTGTCATGCTCTTCAAGAAGACCCGGACAAAATAAGTATATGGAGCACCACTTGGCAAATGGAATTTAATGTGAATAAATGCCATGTTATGGAATGTGGAATAGGAGAACATAAACCCCACACAACCTATAAATTATGTGAGAAATCTTTAAAGAATTCTGACAAAGGGATCTAGGGGTGGTTCTAGATAGAAAACTGTCACCTGAGAACCACATTAAGAACATTGTGCAAGGAGCCTATGCTACACTTTCTAACTTCAGAATTGCTTTTAAATACATGGATGGTGAAGTACTAAAAAAATTTTCACGACTTTTGTTAAACCAAAGCTGGAATATGCAGCGGTTGTATGGTGCCCATATCTTAAGAAGCACATAAACAAACTGGAAAAGGTGCAAAGACATGCCACCAAGTGGCTCCCAGAACTGAAGGACAAGAGCTACAAGGAGAGGTTAGAGGCATTAAATATGCAAAAACTAGAAGATAGAAGAAACAGAGGCGATATGATCACTACGTACAAAATAGTAACAGGAATCGATAAAATTGAGAGGGAAGAATTCCTGAGACCTGGAACTTCAAGAACAAGAGGTCATAGATTTAAACTAACAAAACAAAGCTGCAGGAGAAATATAAGAAATTCTCTTTTGTAAACAGAGTGGTAGACGGTTGGAACAAGTTAGGTGAGGTGGTGGTGGAGGCCAAAACCATCAGTAGCTTCAAAGCGTTATATGACAAAGAGTGCTGGGTACACGGGACACCACGAGAGCAGCTCTCATCCTGTAACTACACTTAGGTAATTACACTTAGGTAATTACACACACAGTGGTGCAAAGGTAACAGCAAATGTCCAATGATACATCTCCAGCTGAACCAACCAAACATCAATCACCAAGGGACTATTCCAGAAACCAGATGTCTCGTACTTAAGCAGAAAGGATAGGACCGTAAGTCAAGAAACCAACATCCAGGGACAAAAGAACAAAACTCCTACTTCCAGAGGAAAGCATGAAGTTTCCCAACCATACAACCAGAAGTGAGGGCCAACAAAAGCAATGCCTTGAGGAAACAAACCTGGACTGAAGAGGCAACAGAAAACCAGAGAGAGGAGAGAAAATCTCCATCTAAAAACCGAGAAGGTTTAGGAGGAGCATGAGCAGTTCAGAGGTGAAAACAAAAAATGCCCGAGACATCCAGTGAAACAGGGCTGACAAAACGTCAACAGCTAAGTGATAACACCAACAACAGTGGCTCTGCCAAGGTCAAATGATACAAGGTGAGTATTTGGCATGAGAAATAGGAAGGAAGGAAACCAACAAACCTCGTACCATTGCCTCAACGACAGCTGCAAGCGAAACACCAAAAGACTAGCCACCTGCAAACCATACAAAGAACGGCATGTGTCAAAAATTCGAAACCTGCAGATCGCTGGAGAGCCTTGAACCATTGCGAAACATCTCTGGCCAATATGCCAAAACGGGCAGAGCCAGAACCATAGAAAATGTTAAGTTTGAACAATAAGCCCAAAGAGCAGGAAACTACAGCAAGGCCTCCCTCCGACCAGGGAGGCCTGGTCAGAGACTAGGCCACAGGTCCGTTGATCCTCAGAAATTCCACAAGGTAGGTAGGCCGGCCAAAAAAAAAAAAAAAAGTCAATAGGAGAACCCTGTTGGAGAATGTCTCTAGTCTGAAGAGAACCTGGAATACCAACCAAACTGGAGGGAAGAGAGAGAGAAATCCCCACGGACCCCAGTCAAACCAAAAGGCATCTACAACAAGAGTCTCACTATCAGGGAATGAAGTCATATAAACTGAAAGTCGCTGGTTCCACATTGACGCAAAGGAATCAACAATGGGGCAAACAAATGTCTTACAAATTCAATGGAATGACATGTCGGCTATGGTGAAAAGACAGAAACGAGACCTACCATGAGAATGCCAGAAATGCCTCCGAACATGAGTCGCAAGCAAAGCCAAACCCCAAGTAGCCAGAATACAAGCTACTTGCAGAGTCCAGCCCCTCAAAGGAAGACCCCAAAGCAAATCCTCACAATTTAGACAAAGAACCACTGGGGAGTATTCAGAGTGGAGCCATTTAAGTTTAAGTGTGAATGATTTGAATTTTTTACTACAAACTTTAGCTGGATGATATATTCCTATGCTTCCTAGTAACAGTATTATGTACAAAGATGTTTGAAAAGTTTCCCATACTGCCCTCATCTCAAATATCACCCTGCTTAACTGCACAACTTCCCTATGCTTAGATTAGCACATATGTGTAGTATATTAGGCCTCAGATAGCATACATTAGGCCTAGAATTCCCTGGACAGATTAGATTCTTTAGCAACATTTTCATTCTCTTAGTACAGTATGGCATTTTGGTTAATTCAATAATACAAAACTTGAACTTGTTGGGGTCCAACAGTTAATGTATGTTTGAGTAAATAATTGCTGTATTATCATTACTGGAGGTTGGGCATTTTATGTATAGTGATTTTTTACACTAAGCTACAGTAATTATAAATGTACAACTATTGTTAAATACAATTCTGAATTAAATTTGAAGTACTGTACAGAACATATTCAACTTGGTTAAAAAATGCATAGTTATTATAAAGAATTGTTTATATATACAAGAGAACACTGTTTAATGCAATCAATTTATCTACAGAAGTATCAGCTTTATTTCAAATACAGTATAACCATTTGTAAATGAAATGGAAAAGGTACATGAAAATAGCTTAACTTCATATCTAGCTTACTGAAATGAAGCTGCACATCAAACTCTACTTACTTCCAAACCATTTACTCTATTCATCAATTTGAATGTTCTTAAATTATTTGTGTTGCCAAAACTGTCAAACTTACAGTACAAATTGACTAAAATTATCAAAGAATACCTTAGGGAAGGCCAACCAATGCTTGAGATCCCCCCTTTTCAAGTCATTATTTACCTGCATCTCAAGACTGGCCACACGATGCCTCAGGTTGTACGTATCCGAGGTCATCTCCTCCTTGTCACGTCTCAGCTTATCAACCTCCCTCTCTGACCTGTCCAGATCACCCTCACATACATCCAACTTTTTGCGTAGTTGGGTTAGGTCGGCCGTAAGGGAAGCTATGGTCTCGCGAGCTTCGGCAAGACTAAGCTCAAGCTTTGCTCTTGACCTACTAGAAGGAGACTGCAAGGGAAAAGATGCCAATGCTACCGCGATGCTCAACACTCAATATCTAAATTTCCAAGCAAGTAAGGTTTTGTTTTTACAGATGTTTTAAAATGTTTATAGCTTTTGTAACTGTGGAAAAACTTTTACAGTAACTTTATTTGTTTTAAACTCCTGCAGCCATACAAGCTTACGTAGCTATTGCAAGCTATTACTTAATACCATAAATAATTTTGTTTAAAATTCCATATAATCAATCATTAAATAATTAACTTTTATAATGCACCTCCTAAAACAGTGCTACTGTACTTAATACATTTTGCAGCATAATTATACTGATAAGGGGTTAAATATTATGTTTGTTAAAGTTGTAGGTTAATATGAATTATTTTGTTAGTTCTCACTAGAATGGTGGTTTTAAAATGCAAGTATTGTTGCTTGAATAAAGATACCCATTTGTGAGCAATGCCTTATATCTATTTTAGAGAATAACTCTGGACCTTCATTCCTTTAACTTAAAAAATGACACGCACAATAAAAGAAAAACACAATACAAATATGCACTGGCCACACGTTAAAGGCCACCACATAACTTAAGTGATAACCTGCTGCCGGGATACACACTGTACTTTCACAGAGGGGACAAAACAGTGTGCAACTGGTGGTGGATGAGCAAGACTGATGTGTGACAGTCAATACTGTATTTAGAATATTTACTTATAAGATTTACAAAGACCTGATGAGGTACATGAAGCACGGCAGTCACAATTGCATTCATTTTTGCACACTGAAAATGAAGCAGACAGGCCAAAGCCAAGGTTTAATCCCTCTACATATAACTTTCTTCAACAAAGGCCCCCCTGTCCCAATACCCTAAGTCTTTATCCTCCCACCAACCAGTAGAGGCTGTTGTCTAACAACTAAATTATAAAGCCTTCCCAAGTAAGTGATTTTATTTTAAAATCTCAACACAAAAGCAGGATCAGAGCATCCTTATAAAAATACACAAGCACATACTTGACTTGAATACATGGAGCAAAGATTATTGGGGTTTGGCTGAATATCCCAGTGAGATAAAACAATAATTTTTTATGTATAGATTATATTGCTCTGTACTACCTAGTTGTACTTGTAAGGGTTGAGCTTCAGCTCTTTGGTCCTGCCTCTCAGCTGTCAATCAACTGATGTACAGATTCCTGAGCCTACTGGGCTCTATCATATCTTCATTTAAAACTGTGTATGGAGTCAGTCTCCACCACAACACTGCCTAATGCATTCCACCTGTTAACTACTCTGACACTGAAAAAGTTCTTTCTAATGTCCCTGTGAATAGATATGGTACCATGCAAGAGGCCTAGATGTATGCACACACTTACAACCTCTCCTGCCTAAATATCTAGATGTAATGCCTTCTGATGCTGCCACTGTTCTCGCTAAACCATTCCTTCCCCCTGTCCCATCCCAAAAACCTTATCCTGGACCCCTTCGAAGTGCTATATAGTCGTAATGGCTTGGCGCTTTATCCTGGCAATTCCCTTCCCTTCTAAACAGTTTCAGGCAACTGAATGCTTGCCATGACGAATGAGCAAAGGGCCCAGTTAGTTCTCATGCCTTATGAACAACCATTTTAAGAGAACATCTTCTGTATTTACCCCCTTCCCCCTTCCCATCAGAACAGACACAGCTTGTTAGCCTCAACTGGCAATATGCCTAGCAACACAAATTAAAAATAAAACCTAGCCAGACAGATTTTATCAATACTGAACAACAATCCATTTAGATAAAGAAGCTCCAGTGACACAAAACTAGGCTTCCAAAGCTTGCAAACATCGGACACTGTGGCAAGAAGAATCAGATGCCCAAGGATCATCATTATTACAACTATGCTAACAGTTTATCAAACACACAAAACGAGTTAAATTTAAATTAAGAACTTGCAGTAATTGTGAAACAATCTTACAGAAGCTTAGTTATTGGATATCTGTCAAAAACATTCCAATTTATGAGGGAAAAAAATACCATCTGATTAATACAATGGTCTAATCTTGAAGATCAAGTTCTTCAAAGTTAGAAAGCAAATCCAGATAATACTAAAAAAAAAAAAAAATTGACTCACTGCTGCCTTGAATGCAACACAAATATAAGGAACTTACGAATTTGGGTATCATGGAAGATGCAGTATAACCCTGGGTATTGTGGAAAATATGAATATGAAATAACACAGGAAGGGTATAATGAAATGTTCAAACTTGGGTACCAGGAGAAGTGCAGATGAGAAGTCACAATAACGTGGCTGAAATATGTTGACCAAACCACACACTAGAAAGTAAAAGGACGACGACATTTCAGTCCGTCCTGGACCATTCTCAAGTCGATTGTGAGAGAATGGCAATCGACTTGAGAATGGTGCAGGACGGACCAAAATGTCGTCGTCCCTTTACTTTCTATTGTGTGGTTTGGTCAACCTGGAGAGGTGTGAGCTTGGGTACCAGGAGAGGTGTGAGCTTGGGTACCAGGAGAGGTGTGAGCTTGGGTACCAGGAGAGGTGTGAGCTTGCGTACCAGGGAAAGTGTGTCCAGAGAACTGGGGAATGTGCTGTCGTGCATGAGACCAGTGCATGGGACCAGTTGACGGGCATACTCCAATAACCATTTGATTTGCTTCACAGAAACTAGTTTTATGAGACACAAGGCAATGATCACAAATAGGTGTGTTAGAAGTTAAGTATCCACACATGGAATAACCACTTGTTTATGCCCACACTACATATGTGACATATAAGATGGCAATAATTTATATTATTAGGTTAGTCTTGTGTAAAACTATAGTCTGGGGAAAATAAATTCTAGTCAATTCTGAAGATCTAGTCAGGTTACAACTACTGATGTAATTTTTGGTCGTTACACTGTTCAATAATAGGTATGTGACTGCTGTTTACTGCCTTTAAATACTGTAGAAATAGTTGTGAAGTCTTCTCCATTTTCAATACATTTATATCTGTGTTTGACTGTAAATGATTTTCTCTTTTATATTCAATCACAATCTAGACAGAGAAGTCAGTGCTGTTCATGTGACCTTAACTATGGCTTCCAAATTTAAATACCATGCAAAATAAGGTGCTTGAAGAATATTGTGCCATTTGAAAAAGATAGACCAGAAGTAGGCCAAACATTGGCAACTCGAGCCATGAGTCAGTCTTCAAAATGAGTCGTGTTCCATGTAAAGGAGAGAGACAAATCACCCACTCTTCAGTGTTGTAACAACATATCTTGGTGTATTCCAATGATTGGTGATGGAATAACTCCAATTTTAAAGTGAACAAGTTTGTACTCTTAGGAATTTCAGTCTACTTTGTTCCACAACTGAGGATCTATGCAGATAAACACAAGTACAAACTTTTCACATTATGCTGCAAGTTGATTTGTTGTGTACATTTTGTTACATAACAGCCCAATGTTAGCCAGAATGAGAAATTGGTCTCGTGACAACCAATGAAAGAAACTGTCATCTGCTGTTAAATTCCCTCAACCATCAATAACTGTTATCCATAGGTGCTGCATCCTGCATGCTAGGCCCCATTCCTTGACCAAGGAGAAATCAGTTATAAAAATTAGAAACATAATTTCAAAACTTGGACACATTAATTCTATAATACAGGCCAGTCACTATAACCTCAAATTCCAAGATTTTCAGTTTACACAGTTACAGAGCCTATACGATAGTAAGTCTATTCTTCCAAGTTTCCAAATTTGTTTTCTAACATGTCTGACCTTCCTGGAGATTGACAATGCCTAGTACCTGGTGAAGCAGGTCAAAGTCAGACTGGCTGAGATGGTGGAGGTGGTGGTGGTGATGGTGGGCGCCGGTGGCAGTGTTGGAGTGAGCGGCTCCTCTGCCACCACGCAGACGAGTCTTCAGGCCAGAATTCTCTTTGTGCAGCTCCAGATAGTCAGCCTGATTAATGCACCACATGATAACAGTCTTCAGTCAGTATCATCACTTTGGAAACGTGCACTTATCACTTTTTGGAGGATCAACTGATATTTACAGTGCAAGGCAAGTATTGTAGGTATATGACCTATTAACCATAGCTACTTACATTTCATAATTCCCTTACGTATAAACTATGTATGAATGCTACTAATTAAATACAATAATTCTTGTATATTTTGCCAATATACCTACCTATCTGCCTTGCATTAGATGACTGCATAAGTACGATTCCTTTTTCTATCATATTCTACTACATTCCACATGTGGAATATGCTAACAGCAACACTTCTTGAGACCAACACGTATAGCCATAGCCATAAGCAAGTGTTTCAGGCAGTGCTAATGAATATCACTACCTGGTATTACAGTATGGATTCAGGAACTATAGGCCAGCTATTAAATATCTTGCATTACCACCAGACTACAAACACAAAAACAAGTCACATATCGATTATGGTATAAATCGATAAGAAACCCTTCAGGCAAAAGAAACTGATGACAGGTTCAGATAGTATCCAACACCCTAAATATTTTACAAAGTCCTAATGAATAGAAAATGTCAATAATCATAATAATATTATTATTATTTTTACTAATTACAATGATAAAAAGAAAATAGCTAAGCTGAACTTGAGATAACTAGAGGTACTAGGCACTTCAGATCAGTAATCCATAAGTCTACAAGTCAGTTTCTACAGTCCAGAGTCAAGCAAAGGCAGTATAAAACTGTTGAAATATTTACATTTTTTATGTACAGTAATTATTTAATGCATTAGGAGATATAACAAGAATGTTATCACAGACGAGCAAAGTTATGACCATATCAGGGTATACTAGTTATAATTTTAAATATACAAAACTAGCTACACTGTTTAACACATTAATACAAAGGTTTCAAAATTAATCAAATATGGAAGCGAAGAGTAATGATGTACTTCTTTCTAAGCTGGTCCCTCATTGCTTCCTAGAGCCAGAGCTTATAGTCCAGGCTCTTCTTCACATTGTCCCACACAATAACAGGGAATATTTCAGATGGTCTCAGGATGAAATTAGAGAAGGGAGAGTGTCGAGTCTAACTTGAGTCACCAGTTTGGAATAATATAAATGAGGAATCAAAACCCTCAACACCCTTTGTAAGCAATAGTTATTACAATTCTAGGGACTAGCTCAAAATGGTGGAGGTGATGGTAGTGATGGACAAGAGAATCCATCACAATTAACAACACATTTCTGAGCTAATGTCAATCAGAGGATCCCTGAGCAAACTTCATATTACATGCAAGGCTACAAATATCCCAGAAAGAACCAAGCATATAAGGAAGCAATCCAGTGAGTAATCCAGTGAACAAAGCCAGCCTGAGCCACAGGAAGAAGTAGAGTACTGACCCTAGGGAACCCAACAACCAGGCACCCAAAAGAAGCCCCATACAAATCAATGGGACAAGATCTCTGATCACAGGTGGGAGAAAGAACAGGGCTATCAAATCCAAGCCACTAAAACTGGACTAAGTCACGTAGCAGCTAGAAGCAGGTGGGTTGTATATATATATACACATATTTAATAAAATCCACCAGCAATGCCCAAAGCAGTGGGCATCAGTCACCCAAAGGCACCAGTCATAGGGGCACCAGAGCCTAGAGAAATTCACTACCAAAGGACCAAAGAGCCAAATCTCAATGCCTGCAAGCACCAGGGAGAGCAATGAAAATACTCAAGGACCCAAGGGATAACATAGATCAAAGGAGCACAAAGGTAATGAAGGGCCAAACCAGGGGATCCAGGGATTCAGATCCAGAGCACAAAAACAAGAGGAAAACCTCATCCAACCAGAGAAAACTCTAAAACAGTCACCAAATGGGTCATGTTTAAGTTAAAGGAAGAAAAACAATTTGACAATCCTCTAAACCAGGAAGGAAGGGGGGATGGGGGGAAAAATGTTCTGGACCATCTTCAGATGAACCTTCTGAAGTGAAGAGGAATGGTAGTGGTAGAGCCTAGCTGGAAATACAAGCTCAGATACCACTGGAGCTCACACCGGCAGTAACTAAAGATGAAGATCTTGTGAGAGATGATAGGGGAAGAAACTAGAGGAAGCTGGGAAACCAAAAGCTGAATGGGGCTGAAGTAGATGCTGGCACTGGGGGTAAATTGACTGTGCAAAATATAGAACAAAATGCTCAAGGAAGGAATTGAAAAACTCAAAAACACCCTGAACGGGGAAGAGAGGCAACACAATATCCTCCTAGGAAACACATCACTGCAAACATAGGGGAAATGCCAGACAAAAATGAGGACTGTCAGCTCCTCTGACTTTGTGGTGACAACAGATGCTATCAACTGGTGGGGGTCAGGATAATCTACCATTATTAAGTAGCAAAACAAGCAATTAATAGTCTTGGTTGCATTTATTTGTATTGCTTGCAGAGGGTATTAATAGTATTAAACTTTGTTTTGGATAATTGTGTTGTAAGCTAGTCACCACTCTTTCTTCTCATTTTGTTAAAAGACCATCTAAAGTGTTCCTTTACAAAGTAGGAGGCAAAGTTGACAAGAGTCTAGTGGGTGATACGAATCCCGAGTGGATGAACCATATGGGCTCTGGTATAGGGACCATCCAAGGAGCCTTAACTTAGAAACGCAACAGTTTCTGGTCCTTTATAGGCAACTACTTTATAAGTACAGTATACGACTAGGATAGTATCATCAATTTAGAATTCTAGTGATATGCGAGACCAAAAGTTACAGTTTAACTTCTGCTCTTCTGATCTTTTCAAACATATAACTCGGTTTCATAAACTGTACTCTGACATTTGCCAATAATTATTCCTGGCTCAAACACTACCTATACATCATAATAAAACTCACCTGTGTCTGTTCCAGTTTGGCCTTGAGACTCTCTACCTGCGTCTCCAGGAGGTCGACCAACACAGCATCACCAGAGCCCGTTAAAGTTGTGATGCTACCTTCCTGTAATGTCAAGTTCCATTACAATATCAGTTCACATACAAAGGAATCATCTATTTGATCAATTTTGTAATCACCTTGTTATGTGATTAATCTAGCATTACTCTTATGTAAATAAAATTAACCTTCACCTTTATATTATTACTTATTAAACTTACTTACAGTGATGTACTGTATATATAATGGACTAAAATACTGTACTATAGACTACACAATGCTAAGTATACTATGGGATGCACAGTGCTATCTATACTGTATCAATAAAATAGAATGTCTGTTTGTCCATCCAAAGTAGGAGGCCAGATGATTGGGGCTCACCAACTTTCACTCATGAAATATGTGAAATATGTGGCTGTCAAAGGCCAGTTGGGGTTGGCCAAAATGCCATGTTTTAAAAGTGTAATTATTTTAAGATAATTATATAATTAGTGAAGAAACAGCTGTCAACAAACCAGAGAAACAGATAAGTCTGCAACTTGAGACGGCAAGAAATCAATGATGAGACGGATGGTAAGCCAAGACATATGGAAGAGCATCACATGACACAGATACAACAAATTAATTACTACACCATTATGCTGAATGCAACTGTAAGTCACAGAGAAAAATATTAGCACCTGAAGCACTAGACTCCAAAAATATATATGTATTGAAAATTGCAAGTCTTTATTTATTGGATAATCTCCATTATCCAATAAATAAAAAATTGTGTAAGAGTTGGATAAGATGTTATATTTGCTAATATATCCCTGAACTAACCCATACACTGACCTCTCTTAGTAATGAAGCAATGCTGCACTACAAATCTGGAAAAATACTTCAAGGCAAAATTCTCTATATATGACTTACTTTCTCTGGTTGCTGCCTGTCAACCAAGTCCGAGATGGAATGAATAGATCCAGACTCGGAGAAGCAGGACACCGACAATTCATCTTTGGCCACAGATGGGTAGTCGTCACGGGTACTACGTCGTGAGGATGGGGGAGATGATCTTGATCTCTTGCTAGACCTGGATCTTGAGTTTGATCGTGACCGTGCACGATCTGACATATCAAAAAAGTAATATAAAATGTGCATATGATTATTCATCCAATTAAGTACAAAACATAAATAAAATCATGGCATTATGTCCCTACACATCACACATTTATTTAATAAATTATATTCCAGCTTATTAGAGATGTGGAAAATGAGAACACTTGTGTGTGTCCAGGGGCCAGGATTCACCTTTGTCTTTCCTCCATCATGATGGCTTAGTCTATATTTAGTCAACAATTTATAAGCTTCTAAATGCTGTGAGGTCATTCTCGTCCAAAGCGTATCATCATTACAGACATCCTCATAGTGCTTAGCAGCTCATAAACTGTGTAATAAATGCAAACTAAGCTCCCATGATTGAGAAAAGATGTACAGGTTTCATAAATTGACATTTGTTGATTTAGAGTTCATTTTCTTCCAGCAACAATACAGTACAGTATTGCAGTGATTATTCTTCCAATTAATTAAACTTTCAGTATGTCAGAATTTAAGATCTCTTCAAATACAACAGCAAAATAAATAAATAAATAAAGCATAAATAAATAGATACAAAATTGCAGCTAATGACTTGTCAGGCAATTGGTTAAAACTACAGATATTTCAAGAACATGGACACAGAAATCCTGTGTTGTGGGGGAGAGGATTTGTGGCCAAGGGAGGTGCCTATTGGTTCACAAGGTGAAGCAGGCATAAGTGAGCTCATAGAAAGTAAAGGACTAGAGTACAAAGTTGTGCAGTATACACATGCAGGAGAAATGCTGTAAGAGAACATAAATAGAGGAAATATATAGACACAGTTTAGTATTAAATCAAGTGAGGTTAATCAATACAATTAGAATTACTGTACATACTACGAGAAATTTTGCTGGAAAGAAATATTTCAATACCCTCGATAAAATCTGACTATCATAATTTTTAATACAGTCAATTCTCTTTGAACATTTATGATTATTCTATTTGAACATTTATAATTATTCTATTAAAGAAAAAGAAACAATTGTGTAATTATACACAATTTTAACACATTACATGTACTGTACTGTCATTTGCCATTCAGCAAAAATTTAGCAAGAATACGAATCGAGACACTCAATATACAGTATTAATTGAAAAGCACAAGCTCAGACAGGGAGAAACATGCACCTTTCACCCTGGAGATAGGAGTGCGGAGCAGAGGTGGGGAGCTGGGAAGACTCTGGCTGGTAACAAGACTGAGATTGCTGCACGAGTTACTACTGGCAGTGGTGGGTGGACTACCAGGATTTGGGGAGATATGGGAGTCACTGAGAAGTGTTTTGGTACATTTTCCATCCTTCTCACCCCACTCAAAGTAATCCTCGTTGGTCTGGATGTGGCTGCTAGTAGAAGTTTCTGAGGCAGTTCGGTACTCGTCATCAGACGAAAATGCGTAGCGGCTGTTGACCGATGAGATGGACTCATTATGCACATCGCTACCCTGGTCACGCTCGGCTGCCATGCTCTCAAAATTTGAACTGAAATGGAAAATTAAATCACAATGTGCTACAGAAACTGCAAAAGCTAAACCATCAATATCCCATTTCTCACTCTCTTGGGGATCAGGAGACATTAGCTCGTAAGAAATAGGAGAGCAGATATAACTAGAAAAACAAAGATATAGACAGCTACACCAATTCAATTGCCATGTTGTCTATGATGTGTATTGTAGCATCACATACATCCACCACTCTCTCAATCCAGCTTGAATTTTTAAAAATTCATAGTTTTTAGCCTATTCTGTAGATATTAAATCTATTAAGTTTTCTGCATTCCAATATTCTCTGAACTACCAATTCTGTTCATCTTCGTCGTACTCTTTATTATCCCGTTTCTTGACTCACAACTGGGAATTTCGAGTTTCAATTCCAGGCAAGACAGAAATGATTGGGCATTTTTTGTTTCACCAAATGCCTCCATTCACTTAGCAGTAAATAGGTACTGCTAGGGAATAAATCAACTGTTGTTGCGTCCTAGGAAGGGTCAGTAGTTTGACCTTTGGGAAGGGACCTCAATACAAGTCTAATGTGTGTACATTCACAGGCTGCCTGTCCCCAACAAAATGAATTCATTAGAAACAATACCAAACCATCAACCAGGAGGCTTAGTCATAGACTGGGCCAAGGGGACATTGATCTTTGGAATCATCAACAGGTATATGACAGGTATACACTTACTAACCTATCTATGAACAGAATATTCAGCAGAGAATACAACAAGACTTAAATGTCCTAGTTTTTCTTTCAACCAACATCTTGAGGTTATCTTGAGATGATTTCGGGGCTTTAGTGTCCCCGCAGCCCGGTCCTCGACCAGGCCTCAACCCCCAGGAAGCAGCCCGTGACGGCTGACTAACACCCAGGTACCTATTTTACTGCTAGGTAACAGGGGCATAGGGTGAAAGAAACTCTGCTCATTGTTTCTCACCGGCGCCTGGGATCGAACCCGGGACCACAGGATCACAAGTCCAGTGTGCTGTCCGCTCGGCCGACCGGCTCCCCGGTCCTAGTAGGAAGTTATACTTGAATAAATTACTGTTAACTTGTATGTAGTCTATTGTTACACCAGTGCAGAGCAGGCTCATCATTCCTGAACACAGGTTCATTATTATTTATGGGAGTCAATTCCCCGAGCCCCAGACCTCGTCTCTTACTGGGGGGCTTTACAGTGTTAAACAATATTTATAATTAACTAGGCACAAATGTAACAAAGGTGAATAAACATTTACTTTATAACTTTAACATGGCCACCATGACAAAGGGGGCCCATAACACGTTACTTACATCATGATAGCAAGACGAACAGTGCCTCACAATATTTAGAAAGTGAAAAACTCACTTTTTCTCAACTCACCATTTTGCGTATTAGTATCAAATATAAATATTTCCTTACCTCTCTTAGTCATTTTAACAAACATAATAGAGAAAAAGTATTTAATTTTCAACACTGACCTTCAGCGCACTTCAATAAACTGCACAATTCATTCTACAAACTTTAATACAGCAATATTATTCATGTATATTCTTTTCAAGCATTCCATTCTGCTTCACAACTACTCTGTGCATCCCTTTATACCACATATTCATCTTTACCTTTAACCCATATATTGCTTCACAGAAATTGTATTAACAATCGTGCTGAAATTCATTATTCATTCAAAATTATACTGACCACCGCTGAGCAGCCTTACATACAAGTCAATGGAAAAGAAGTTTTCCCAGTACCTATTTTACTCACTTTACCATATTTCCTTCCAAACTCAACAAGTTTAACACAATTCCTTCCTCTTATTTATAATTTTCTCTTCCTCTTATCATTTCAACTTTTTTATCTACCATTTTGTTGACACATTTCCTATTAAAATGTATAATTCTGTATTTTTAGCAGTGTTGAAGCTTACCCTTGTGAGTTATGCCGGTCTCTCTTAGCAACAATCTCTCTCTCAATCTGCTCGCCAAGGGTAAGTGGTCGGTCCTTTGATTCCTTGAGATTCGCTGCATTTCTTAAAGCCTGCACCCAGTTACCTCGGATGCCTGATGTGACAGCTGAGAAGACATATTTCTTCTCTTCCCAAGTCTGTTAATAAAATACAGATCAGATTATAAATTACTGATGAGAAAATATCAGATTATCTTATAAAATGAGTCAATTGTTCTAGATGAATTAAGTAATATGAAACTTATGTGATGAAGTAAAGCATCAAAACATTGCCATAATCTTTTATGCTCAATAAAGCCAGTTCATTTTTTGTTTATCTTTAGTATTTATTTATTTATTTATATACAAGAAGGTACATTGGGTTTGTGAGGATACATAGCATGGTGTTAACATTCTTGTAAAGTCACTAGTACGCCAAGCGTTTTGGGCAGGTCCTTAATCTAACATAATTTTAAGTAGGTAAATTCTAGCAAAAATTATAAAGTGATAACAGGTACATTGCAAGGAAAAAAATGAGATGAGAGAGATTAGTAGGTATATTAAAGCACATCGGTAGCTCTGATTGATTGCATTGACAGCTTGACTGGTAATTTAACAGAGATTAATAGGCACAATACAGCATATTGATATCACATGTAAGAGGACAGCAATGATCATAATGGTAAAGTTGTTTGGATTAGGTACATAAAGATTGGGGGATTGGGTAGCACTAGATACAGTGCAATTTTAAAGCACAAGGTAGGAAACTATGAAGATGAAATTAGGTACTTTTTGGTTTTGTTTTTGAATGAGGCAAAAGTTGGACAGTTTTTTAATTCATTAGGGAGTGAGTTCCATAGACGAGGTCCCTTTATTTGCATAAAGTGTTTACGCAGATTAAGTTTGACTCTGGGGATATCAAAGAGATATTTATTACTGGTGTGGTGATAATGGGCCCTATTACATCTGTCCAGGGAGAGTTTCAGAGCAGGATTTGCATTTAAGAACAGGGTTTTGTAAATGTAATTGTCACAAGAGAATGTGTGGAGTGAGTTTATGTTTAGCATATTAAGGGATTTAGACAAGGGGGGCCGAGTGTTGTCTGAAAGCAGATTTTGTTAATATTATTGTTATTATATGTTATAGATCTATCAGTTATAAATGGCCAGTGGGCAAGTCTAACAAATATGGTGGAACCTCTATTCAACAAACCTTAATTCGGAAAATTTCCAGTTGGGTGTTTGACATTTTTTGTTGCGAATTTTTTTTTAACTTTTTTGTTGGGCAAATGGCAAATCTTAATATGCCTCTAATTGTGTTTTTAATGATTTTTGTAGATGGGCACAGCATTAAAAGAAATAGTATGGAGTCTTGTGAAAGTCATTGAGCATGTTTATAATCAAATTCTATGGTTCATTTTAATTAAAATTCCCTAGTTTTTGTTCATTGATATGGGCCATTTTTCCTTTGAAAATTATATTTCAAGGCTAGGGTTTGGGAAATATGCTAGATGTAGTTAAATCTCTTTAAAAGACATGTTCTCTTGGTAGCACTTACCATAATCATGAAGCCGTAGTTTCGAGCCACATCACATTCCTCTATAGATTTTGCAACACTGAGATCAATGATACCATCTAGAATCCCGTTGTCCTCGGCACTGGGGTCACGGTAGAACATGAGGCCTGTCCCTCGCAGCACAAACCAATATTTGTTCCAGTCCTAGTGAAAATATCATCATCATCAGCAATTTTACAACCTGTTCATCTCTCTCTCTCTCACTATTACCCCTCTCACAATAGGCTGACATATTACTCCCATATCTATTTTCAATCTGACATACATATTTCTCTTATAACTGCATTACTACTGCATTTCCTCCTTTTTTGAGCACTCCAGTATTAAGGCCTTTATTTTAGGACCAAGTATTTATATAACAAAATTTAATTATATACATGCTAATAAAACCAAAAAACGATAAGACCTAGAATTAATTCTCATACAAACATCTTGTTGCAAAAGTTACAATATTCAAATAAAAACAGACCAGTTTGGATGGTCACAGTGGTGAAAATTAGTTGTAAAAGCTCTCTAAACTTGACACTTCCTTTCACCAGCATCTGATAATGAATGTAATCATGACAACACACGCACAACCACACTAACGATATCCATAGTCTTCAAGATGAACTTTACAATTCAAACAGAAAAGGTATTTATGAGATGTGAGTACGGTAGCCTATCAATTACAAATGAGAGTAAATATAGCAACTATGGCTGGAATGTAAAAAAAAATTGTCTGTTGCTCCCAAAAAAGAAAATTATGCTCTATTAATTTGATATAGATCAAGACAGAAGGCAACAACCAAACCAAAAAGCTCATAGGCCTAGCATAGCATACGTATGTGCTAACTTAGGACAAGATGAAATATATAAGGCCTAGGACAGGGTAGGTTAGGTTAGGTAGTTACTCTTCCAGGTTTTGGCATGCCTTTTTTGATACTGTATTTCAATGGTACAAAACAAACTTTTTGGAGTACAAGAATACATTTCTGTACACTCCACTAATGGTTACTATAATTACTCTTATTTTTGGAGCATGGGTTGGAGTATGGAGTTGTGTAAATGATTCTAAAATACTATAATTACAGTGAATGTGCCCCAACATTTAACAAGAGGACCAGATAGATGACAATCATATTTGATTTTTTGAAGCATCATAAATCATCTTAAGCAAATATAAAATCTACTAGGAATATGAAAATTACCAATTTAAACTAAAAGTTACTAGAAAGAGATGGGAGTATTTTATAAAGCTTAACCATAAACCTAGGGAGGTTAAAAGGCTGTTTTACCTCATTTTATTTTGAACTAGGGGGTACCCAGCACTGCCCGGGTCTGCATCTCTACCTTTCTTTACTCTTTACCTATATCTGCCTGTATCTCACTCACACTCTCCCTATCTATCTAGCTAATGATCTAGCTATCTCTTCGTCCTTCCCCCCTTTCCCTTTGCATCCATTTCCCTCAAGAAGCAATGAAACAAATGTATGGATCTCAGCTGCTTTGCTTTCCCTTTCTCTTCTCTTCCTTATCCATTCTAGATTATTTTAAGTAACAACTTCACATTAATTGCATGCCATATTTCACACTTTACTCCATGAAAGACTCAGTGAAAATGGCCTAGGGGTGTTTATAATTGTTAATATTTCTAAAAGCATTTAACTTTTACCTATCCCCAACTAGCCTATGTCTGTCCTGTACCACAGACCATTCTCCCTGACACTTTTGGCAAGGCTAGCCCCAAGCATCTGACCTCCAGCTTTGGACAGAGACAGACATTCTCTCTTTTAGGTATAGATGAGGTTAATCTCACACACAAATGCATTTCAACAACATTAAGAATAACAAATGCCTGCAGATACAAATAAATGAGAACAAAGTGAATTGCCACATTGTGAATTAGCCACCAAAGGTCTCAGGTATTAAAAATGCACTCCAGCATCAACAAAGTTTGAGCCCAAGACAGACGGAGCTGGACACTCAACATATACAAACAAGCAATCTGTTAATGACAATCAGGCGACTTTCACAACACACACCCAGTGCAGCACAACACATGTAATAGCAACAGGCTGGCTTTGTTACTGATGAAAACCCGATAAAACACCACAGGTTATCTGCCCTAAACAAAATTGTGGTATTAGTACATACTGTAATTGCCTGATGCAGCACATGGTAGCAACTGGATGTTACACACTTTACCAGGTCAACAAAACACTGTAACATGCAGTGAGTTATTGAAGTTGCTACAGTTCTTATAAGAACTACATATCATTAGTTAATCATTTTAATACAGTACATGTCTACTGTTAGTTTAGATATACAGTAATGTATAACAAAAATTTTCATTGCATAAAAATAAATAAGCCGCTGCAAACCATACACAAAAGATTATCAACTCATCATAAATGTGCTTTCATTAAAAAAAAAAAATTAATGAAGAGTACAAGTTACCTGGCTGAGAGATTGTTTCATGAGCCAACCCTTCTTGATGTACAGGAGGTCCTCCGCTGGCAGGTCTACACGCTGAAGATCTGGGCTAGCTGTGTACGGTGGTGACACCTCTAACCCACACCCATCTGGGTCTCCTCGAACCTAACAGGCGGAGAGAAAAGGTGTGTATTAGACTATTTGGTTTTCAGTAACTCGTGTTGAAAAATTATAGGAATTACAAATATTTTCACAAGTACCTTTATGTAAATAAAAATTAGATTACAGTACATTCTTCTACCTTATAAATTCTCTTTGACCATTTTCATATGATACAGCACTTTTAGATAAGAGGGGCTTGCTTTATTCATATTAATACAATATGATAAAAAAGCACTTTTTACATGTCATATAGCAATCTATCCGTCTTGCCTGATGCTCAGGAAAAATATTTTCTCATTTACATTACAGTAGACATAAATACATAAGGTCTTACATGGTCTGGGTGAGAAGAATCTGTTTTATCTTGAGATGGTGTCTTTGACAGATCTGGCGAACCTTCTGTTTCATCTTGAGTGTCACACTCTCGTGTGGGCTTTACATCCCCTATTCCTGGCTGCAAAGTTTAAGAAAAATAAATAAATAATATACAGTAATATAATTTAATATATGTATATGTGCTATATATATATATATATATATATATATATATATATATATATATATATATATATACATATACATACACACACACACACACACTTGGTACCTGCATATAAGTGGACAGTGGTCAAATGAGCTCAGTGCCATGCTGACCGTGAGGAGGCAGAAGAAGACACTAACAGAGACCCTCCATATAAAATTTAAGAAAGTGTTCATGTCTCTCAAGACCATACAGCAGATTGATAAAGAAAAGAACCTAGGCATTATGATCCACTGGTTGTTGAAAGCTGCTCTGCAAGTAGCAGCTGCAGTAAAAAAAAAAAAAAAAAAAAAAAAAAAAAAACTCATCTTAAAAGAAATGAAAAAATTGGAAGATAATAATCTAAACCATTTCTTTAAAAGTTCTAATATAACTTACACAATGGGCAACAGTTTTAGAATCAATAAGCTGAACTGTAGAACAGAAAAGGAGATGATGCTTTTTCACCCATATGGTAATAAACCCATGGAATCACCTACTTACTATAAATGACTAGACAGTATTCCAGGTTCAGCTGGAAAATATCCTCAGGTAAATTACTTAGCATACACATTTATATTTATGTAGTCAACAAACCTTGGAATTCAGGTATGAAATAGATGAATTTCCTCTCAGTCTTGTGATGGAGTCTGCAATATCTTTCAGCTTCTCCTCCCGTTTGGTTTCTTCCAAGTCAGTGAGGAGCTGCCGTCTCGTCACCTCACCTGCTATAGTAAATAAATCAGTGCAGTATTTCATAAAAAAATCCATGACCAGGTCTCACATTTAAGATAATAGTTTGTAAATGACTAAATTGCTGTGATGTCAATATAATTATTTTCACTGATTGTTTCTATAACATAAAATGCAGCTTAAATTAATAAAAAAATTAATTTAATGTAATTAACACTAGCTTTCCACTAAAAGTTCACCTACCAACTGGTACAGCTTTTAAATGTTCAGTGATATAATTTATACAACATAAGCAAAATTAATATAAAATTAAACATGGATGCACACACGCGCAGATCAAATACTGTACCAATTCCAGAGCACGCCATAGAATACATTAGAGGTATCTCGAGACCAAGTGAAAAAATTACTCATGAGGCTAGTAAGAAATAAAGTGGTTGGACCTGATGGATTTTCACCTTGGGTGCTATGAGAATGTGCAAATGAGTTGAGCATATCACTCCAATTAATATTCCAAACATCCTTGTGCACAGGAATCTTACCAGACATATGGAAAAAGGCAAATATATTACCAATCTATAAAAATGGTAGTTGAGAGGAACCTCTAAATTACAGACCTGTATCATTAACAAGCGTAGTAATCAAAACACTAGAAAAAAATAGTTCGAGCCAAATGGGTCGAACACCTAGAGAGTAATGACATAATAACACAGACAGACAGTATGGATTTTAAACAGGAAGATCCTGTTTAACAACTCTTCTTAATTTTTATGATAGGACCACAGAGATACTACAGGAAAGAGGTGGTTGGGTTGACTGTGTCTAGTTAGACCTAAAAAGAGACTTTTGACAGAGTCCCACATAAAAGACTGTTCTGGAAACCGGAACATGCTGGAGGGAGACATGCTGGGACCGGAAGACTTCTGATATGGATGAAAAATTTTCTAACAGACAGATGAGGGCGGTAATCAGAGACAATGTATATGACTGATGGCCTCCACCATCATCTCACTTCATGTGAGGTGGTGGTGGAGGCCAAAACCGTCAGTAATTTCAAAGTGTTATACGGCAAAGAATACTGGGAAGATGGGACACCACGAGCGTAGCTCTCATCCTGCAACTACACTTGGGTAATTACACACTTTACACTACACTTAGAAAATTGCACATGCACACACTTCCGTGCACGCACGCACGTTATATGACAGAGTGCTGGGAAGACGGGACACCACGAGCGTAGCTCTCATCCTGTAACTACACTTAAGTAATTACACTTAGGTAATTACACACACACACACACACACACACAGGTGTGTGGGGCCTGGTAGCCTGGTGGATAACGCGCAGGACTCTTAATTCTGTGGCGCGGGTTCAATTCCCGCACCAGGCAGGAACAAATGGGCAAAGTTTCTTTCACCCTGAATGCCCCTGTTACCTAGCAGTAAATAGGTACCTGGGAGTTAGTCAGCTGTCACGGGCTGCTTCCTGGGGTGTGTGTGTATGTGAGGTGTGGAAAAAAAATAGTACAGGGTACGTAGTTAGTAAACAGTTGAGAGGCGAGCCGAAAGAGCAAAGCTCAACCCCCGCAAACACAACTAGGTGAATACAACTAGGTGTATACACACACACACACACACACACAAGCCACAGGGACGTTAGAAAGAACTTTTTAGTGTCAGTAGTTAACGGATGAAATGCACTAGGCAGTGATGTGGTGGAGGCTGACTCCATACACAGTTTCAAATGT